CCTCCCCGCACGGCGGGCAGCAGGAGAGGGCGCCCTTCCCCGTTAACGCCCTGCGTGCGCCGGCTCTTTTTTCTTCAGAGCCCCGTAGCACCCTACAAGAAGCCGGCCCCGGGCCTTCACCACGTCCCATCTCAGCCTAAACTACTCTAAGTCACCGTCTGGATGGGCTGACCCTGGGACTGGGAAGATTCATCTGCCGCTGGAACGTGTCTCCTCCTTCCTGCTTGTCTTCTAGGTCCCAGCTCGGATGTCAGCTCCCCCGGCCAGTGTGTCCTCAAGACGGAGTGCGACGTCCCTCGGCGCGCGGCCGCAACCTGATCTCCTTTATCCGAGCACTGGCCACTCCGCTTCCCAGTCCAAGGTCGCGCCCGCGGGAGGAAAACCGCCGAGGGCGGGACGGGGCCGCACTTCCTCGGCCTGCCCAGCGCGGAGCTCCGCGCACTGCAGACGCTGCGGAGGCGCTTTCGCGGGAGCCGGGAGCAGGAGCACAGCCGCCGCGGCCCGCGCCGCGCTGGGGCAGGAGGGCGGGATGCGGGGCCTCTGCGTGGCCGGTGTTCCGCCGGAAGGCAGAGAGGGTGGGTCTCCCCTGAGCCTCCGGAGGCCGCACCGGCCCGGAGTCCTGCAGCCTCCGACCCCGGCAATGGCTACGTGCAGGAGCCTCCATCAGCCCTTCGTCAGAGCCAGGCCTGAGGGAGGCGGGGCAGAGGCGTCTCCACGCTGTGTGCCTTCCCCGTGCTGCTCTGCTCGCAGGATCAGCGAAGGCTGAGTGCTCTCGCGAGCCAGAGACACTGTGAGGTCAGACTCTCCCCGACATGCAAGTTTCTGTACTCTGGGAGTTCTCTTTGATGTTAGGAAAGCATTCACATCGTCCTGGGTCCTCTTAAGTAATCTGCATATATATCCAAATATATACACATATCCAAATATATTTTCAAATATACCAAGTACATAAATCCAAATGTATCCAAATATATTCCAATATATACACACATGTCCAAATATATATACATACACCCAAATATATACCTATATACCAAAATACATGTCCAAATATATTTCCAAATATATACACAAATATCCAAGCACATAAATATATATCCACATGTATGCATATATATGTAAATATATACAAATATATCTCAATATACACACACATGTCCAAATAGATACACATACATCCAAAATATACCTATATAGCTGATTATATACACATCCAAATATATACACTTATATCAAAATATATACACATATATCCAAATATATACATATATATCCAAATATATGCACATGTAGCCAAATATATATATGGTGGGGCAAAAGCACATTTACAGTTGTTCATATGGAAAATAATGCCATAATACATGAATAAACGCTGTTTTGCATACTCACGACCATTAAACTACTTTGGCCCCACCGTATACACATAGCCAAGTACAGAAATATATATCCAAATCATACATATATTTACATATAAATACAGGTATACAAATATGTGCATATATACCAATATAAACAGATATGGATGTATATATTTTTACTTTTTATTTTGAAATAATTATCAACACACAAGAAGCTACAGAAACAGCACTGAGACGCTCCCTCCCTGGAGAGTGTAACCGGGAGGCAGCCCCCTGGCCTCCCCTCCCCCGCCCCGGCCTAAGGGAGCGAGCAGCTTGGTTACTGAAGCGCATTGTAGACACCAGAGCTGCCATTGGTGCAGGGCGAGGAGCTGGTCCACAGGCCTTGCTGAGAGGTCACTAGTTTTGACACGCACTTGTTATTTTTTCATGAAAGACCTTAATGCTTTCTGCAAGTACTGTGGGAAAAGACTTTTGCCTTAATTAGCTTAGAGAATAACAAATTTTAGACGTGGGAAGGACAACCTGGTTTCTCTCTTTGATTTACGCACAATAAATCCGACCTCAGCGCAAAAGGAGTCTTGCCCGGATCTCTGGGGCGTGCCCACGCAGACTCAGGAACTCAGCTTCTCTACTATTGTTTTTCTTCAGCTTATGACCAGTCTGATAAGGAGATGTCCAATGGAGACTGATTGCTTTCCAAAAGTGAATGAATACTCCATTTCCACAAGCAAAACTCAGTTAAGAAAACACCGCCTTGCTGAACACCGAACTGGCCCACCAGGTCTCGGGAAGCGCTCCCACGGGTTACATTTTAACCTCTGGGCCAACAGAGCGCCCTGCAATCCCTCTACGGGGAGCCCAGGGCTGATAAGCATTTCATTCCACAGTCCCAGAGACTGCGGAACAAAGGCGGGCAAATAGCAGGAAATGAAAGCCACCTTCAGAGCATGAGAACGCACTTCCTGGCTGATACGCTCTAACACACGAACACAGTGAAAGGAACCGGCAAATCGGCATCCAGGGCAAAGATAAAGTTGCTAAGAACCTTTGCAACAATGAAGACATACTTTGAGCCCTTCGTAGACTTTTTTTTTTTTTTTTTGCTGTTTTTGTTTTGAAATGACACGGCCTTGTTGCCGAGATTCAGAAATGCTCACGGTAAAGAAGGACCCACTTGGAATGACAGTCTCCAGGTCCCAGAGCCTGGCGCTGGAGGAGGGTGTGAAGTCGGTGGGGAGGCGGGACGGCGGCAGGGACACAAGGTCCAAAGCGTGTCACCTGGGAAGCTGTGACCTGGCTGCAGCTTCCACTACAGGCAAGGGGGGAGCAGGAGCCCGAGGGGGACCCTGTACCTTGCTCTCCTGGGGACGTTGACCTTTCCTGGTCCTCATGGCTTTTCTTGTAAGGTGCGTGCTCAGAACTTCACACTTCAGCTGCCGGAGGGAGGGACTGGGCAGTTCTTCCTTTCCTCAGGGAATCTGAGTGGATCTTGGTTGCGGGCCCCATGCGGGGAAGAGTCAAGGAAATTATTTTAATGTCCTTGTCCCTGGCCACAAGTTCTGAAGCAGTATACACCAATTTTAGGTACAAAATTTCCTGGAGGCTGGTGGAGGGCAGAGGCTGTGATTTGTATCTTTTATAGGACCCTAAAAGAATGGAACACAATACTGTCCCTAGTAGGTGGTCAGTAAGTACTTATTGATCTTTATAGGAAGACATGTCTCAGAATTTATTCAACCAGCCAATAGTATATGGAGATGATCCCTCTTTCTCTCTTTTCTCCATGTCTGCCACTCTTTCAAGTAGAAAATAACGCAGTTTGAATGAATCATCTTGGCAGCCTTGGGCAACACCACTGTCCAATGTGCAGGGCAAGAGGGCCTGGGTAGGATTCCCGTGCGCAGTGCAGAACCGTCCCTTGCGCTGCGCCTGCCTGTGCCCATGGAACTGAAGCAGCAGGGCTGTGCCATGAGGACATCTCCGCGCACCCCTGGCGCTGCCTGAGCCTGGGTGACGCATCCCTCTCCGCTCCCCAGTCCTCGCCCCACAGAGCTGGGTGGCACACAGCGAAGCTCTGCTTCGTGTTCATCTGCGCTCTCAGGACGCCGATCTATGGAGAAGATCGGGAAGACCGCGTAGTTGCCACAGGAGGACCACCTCATTTACAAAGACAACATTTGCAGCATCAAATAGATTCTAGAAGCTTCCATGAGGAAAGGAGGTAAAAGGCCTACCACCACCACTTGAATTAAAAGAAACAGAAGAACAGGGGAAGAAAATACAAAAGGATATAGAATTCTGACATTGTTCCTGAGGAGCTTTCTCCATGAGGCAGTTCTACGATATTTCAGCCTGAAATAAATGCATAGTGGGGTCATTAGAGATTGGTTGGGTCTGTGTTTTCCGCAGAGCACTTTCTCAGACACACCAACATAATCCCCCTGAAAGACATTTCTGATATTTTAAGAAAGAAGCCCATCCAGTGCTGATTTCTCAACTTGTGTCCTCTGCGAGGCCCCGTTAATAAACAGGGCCGCCAGCTGAGAGGGAGGCAGGGAGGTGGAGGGAAGAAGGGAGCCTGGGGTAAAGCAGAAAATCAGGAAATGCCACTAGGTCATCCCTGCCCCTCACAAGGGTGTCACCTCCTTGGTCTCCAGCACAGTTTGGTCCTGAGGCTTCTACAGGGCACTTCAATCCCAGGGGATTATAAGGAGGTTCTGGCTCCAACCCCCACTGGCTTGTTTATGGACAGGAATTTTGTAGCCTGTAGGAAAGAGTTTCTTGTTCGTGTTTTTCACATTTAAAATAGAGTCAATTTAGCTATTCCTAAATATTTTTTGGACACTGAAATAGGGGTTGTAAAGCATGCATTTCTTTACTCATTCTGGCCTGAAGCCAGAGAAAAGTACAGAATTCACAATTAAAATCCAGACAGGCTCTTTACACGAAATTTTGCCACTCTTGCTTTATTTCATGAGGGTGAGACTCTAATGCATGGTGAATTCATGTGCAGAAAAGATCGCTGTTCTTCTAAGATCATTTATAATCATGGAAAACATGTGAATCTACTGGGAATAAAGAAATTTTAATAATAATAAACTATCTCAAACATAGTAGTTTCCACCCCGGGGGTTGTGGGGATGCTAACAGCGATGCCCGAGCCGAGTGTCATCTCAGGCCTGAACCGCTGTGTCGATTAGCTTCCCCCTTGTAGGCTAGGTCACTTTGGGGAAGTGCAAATTTCTTAACCTGATCCAAAAATGGGGATGATAATAATAGTGCTTGTTTGAAGGTTGAATGAAACTCTGCATATGCATCCCTTGGTAGGGTGCTTGGCATAGAGAAAGGCCTCAGCAGATGTTAGCTATTACTGTGATGATGATGATGATGAAGATTATTATTATTTTACCCAAAAGAAAGAGGATGGAAGAGGAGGGAAGGAAACAGGACCAAGTGGGATTGATAAGGGACTGGGGCAAGGAGGGGAATGAGGAACTCGGCGGCGCAGCTGCCGAAGGGGCGGGGCTGCTTGCGCCATTTCCCAGCATCTATTGCTGATTCCAACATGTTGTAAGACCCTCTGTCAAGGTAATGTTTGAGCCTTTCAGAGCACAGGGACATCGGGCCTCTGAGGTAATGATTAATTCCCTGTGTTTACCTCATTTGTGGATGTACTTCCTGTCCTGTAAGTCCGTTGCGCCCTGGGGCTGGCAAACCGGTGTCCGGGCCTGGCTGTCCAGTCCCAAAATGGAACACAAGGAGGTGGTGCTTCTCCTTCTCTTGTTTCTGAATTCAGGTAAGACGTAAACATTTTTTCACTTTAATCCCTAATTTTTTCCTAGCAATGTACTAAAAACAGACACACGATGGTCTGATGAGCAACTAGTTGAACTTAGCTTCTGATTCCTGAGATTCTCATTTCAAAATCTAAACATAAGATTGAGGAATTTGTCAAGAAGTAAGTTTAATTTCCATGTAAACCCTAGAGACAAATGGGTAGAGAAAAAAAGTGAGTGTTTTTTTTTTAATGTAAAAGATTGAGCTTAAATAATAGTCATTTTGGTTGACAGAAAATAGCCTGTGCAGCTAAGGACCCAGTCTCTTTGCCTGGTTCTCAGTTTGGTTAATTTAGATTATGTTCGTTAAGATGTCACAGTTCCCGTCATTTTCAAACATGCACAATGAGATATCTCCTTGACTACATTCTTTGATTAGTCTGTCGTACTTACTAGTTTCCTGTTGGCTGTGATTTAAATAAGGCTTTTTCCTACACAAATATTTGCTTCTATGCCTGGAGGAACACAGGTGTTTGTTTGCCAGATGATGTATGCACAAAGCAATTCAACGCATAGCCAGTGCTTGAGGTGGGCAAGGTTCAAATTTATACATATGTGCATACATACATACATGCATACATACTCGTTTCTGTCCTTTAATGATACTAGTTTATTTAGCTGGTGCCATAGGTAGAATAATACATTCATCCCCGTTTTATAGATGACTTACTCCATACCGAGGAGAATCATGTCTTTTGCTATTGACCAAACTCCCAAATCCAGCAAGTGAAGAAACCAGGATTTAAACCAGGGCTTTCCAAGAAGGAATCTTGGTGCTCTTCTCACTTTTTCAACTTTGTTTAAATGTTCTTTAAAATATTCTAAGCATGTCCTTCTAGTTCCTTCTTCCTTGAGGATTTATTGTGATATAATTCACGCACTGTACAATTCACCCATTAAGCATTCAATGCAAGGGTTTGCACTGCATTTGGAGCGGCGCACCCATCGCCACGATACCGACACATCTTCATTATCCCCCAAACACTCCACACTCTTAGTTGTCACCTAAATCCCCTTTCTTTTCCCTTCTCCCCTTCCCTCCCTTCCAGTCCCAACCCCCTCCGGTAATCACTTACTGCCTCCGTCTCTGATTTGCCTATTTGGGACGTTTCATATAAATGGAACAATATGAAAGCAGTTCTTCAGGAAAACAGTGTATAGGTACTTAAATTAATACATCACAAGTTGTGCTTTAGAGTCAAATACATTTGAATTTAGTGGAGTCATGCAGAGAAATGTCAAAGAACACAGACAGCAGCAGACTGCACGAGAGGTTCAGTGGAAGAGGCTGTATGAGCGTCTGTAGGTCTTCATCTTCTCTTCTGGCCCCCGGAAGCCAGAGCCTGGGTCACACATGAATCTTAGAACAAACTTCTCTGCCGTGGGACTGACATGTGTGCTCAGCAACCCCCAGGGGAAAGGCTTTCCGAAGCTTTCCTCGAAAGGAAGGCATTTACTCTCTCTTTCTGAGAAGTGTTTCATCTTCTCAATAAACGGCACCATCCCAGAGTGGAAAAATACTCCTTCACAGCTGTTCTCTGTGAGAGGCAGAGGGAGGGCTTGCATTGCGCCGACCGCTGGTCTTATCTTTCAAACACAGAAGCATGGGTGCATACACATGCCACACAGTGATCGAAAAACAAGCAGACCCACATTATCAGTGAAATATGCTTGCTTTGGTAGCAAAATCCATCCCCATTAGCCAAGATCTACAACTTTCAACTGGCGTGCTGCAAGAATTTTTAAAACATGCAATGCTTGACTATTTAGTCATGGGGCATGGTCCTCTTTTCCCTTCAATTGCCAAATAAAAAATTATAACAGCCAACACAACAATAACTGTCTGGTGTGAATGACGCAAAAGTATACCTATTTCTTTTGTCAGATTGGCAGAAAAGTGTGGTACATTTTTTGGCATGCTGCAGAATTTTAGTAATTAGGGTATGTGCGCCATGAGATGAAAATGGTTAAAAATCACTGGCCTAGAATATAAAAATATTTTCCTTACTAAAATGATTGGTTTACTACATCTTGGTCAACAAATAAACGGCATTACACCTCATTGCCATGCGAAGCCTAGAATTGAATAAAAGACAATATTTGGGGAAAATTTTTCAAACAAAATGGAAAACAAATCTCCTTGGGGATGTCTCTGGGACATTTGATCCTGAGGCGGGTCTCAGCAGCTATGTGCTATGAAACATGACAACATAACCGAGTTAAAGGTGACTTAATTAAAGGACTGCGTAAACTGAAATTTTCTTGTTTGGACATCATTCGTACCCTGGCCTGCGTCACTTTGTAAGAACCCCCCCAAGGTTCAATATAACTCTTAACGGGATTTGCTATATAGAGTTAACTTGTCTGTTTTCTAAATCACATCCTAATCTGTAGAGTTTACCAAAACACAACTTTTATTGAAAAAGAGAGCTCAAAGTGGGAGAAAATGCCAGATGATGGCACGGATACTGGTCTGAAAGACCTATTTCTCCATAATCTTCTCATACAGTTATCAAGTGCTTTTTGTGTATTGCACTTAAATTGCACCAGCCACCTTCCTGTCCAGCGTCCACCTTGCAGCCTGGAGGGCCTTACACTGAGGAAGGACGAAGGGGCAGGAGGGGCTGGCCCTGTCTCCGCCCATCAGGGTCCATCGCCTGGGCAGTGTGGTATTTGCAGTGGGTCATAAGTGGCCTTTCTGAGAAAGAGAATCTGACTCTTCACGATCCTTCCTACGGACCATTTTCATTGGCACCCAGCATGCTTGAGAACGTCTCATCTTTGAGAATTTTTTGTGACTGTACAAGCCCTGTACAAGTGCTTCACAGCCAGGCTTCTAGAAGACCCGTCTGCCCTGCTGTTCCCACCGCTGCTCCCAGCCGCTCTCCGGTCACCTCCGCTGGCTGAGGTCCCCACCGCTCCCCTCCAAGCGGTCAAGGTTGCAGTGTTGCCCAATCCCCTTTAGGCAAACTTTAGGAAACTTTGCTACCTTTATTTTATTGACCTTTTTGGCCTCTCACCCTGTGAAAACCACTAGTGTGTTCCCCACTCGAAGGACAGAGGCCAACATCCCCAGGCTGGGAAGAGGGCTGCTAAGCCCGGCCAGCTGCCCGCCCCCCCCACCCCCTGGCCTCAGGAACAAGAAGCAGAGCGACCTTCAGACAGATTGTTTGCCTTCGATTTTATTTCACAGAAAACTCAGGACCAGTGTTTGTCTGAATTTTTACAAGTTCCTCCAAAATGCCGGATACCTGTCACCATCAGGGAAGAACTTATTTCTCTTTCCTTAATAGTGACGTGCCCCTGAACTAAGCCCAAGATAAAAATGGCCTGGGGTTATAGCGGCAATTCGTTCAGGTCCTATTTATTCTGAACATCATCAACTCACCAAATGTTGTATCTCCAGGTGGAACCATTCAGAGAATGCTTATCCCATCGTTTTGAGGGGCAGGGTGACAGTCACAGTTTAAACTGTTGCAGATCAAGCAATGGCTCCAAGCTCTTCCTGTAGCCAGGGATGAACAAGTCACGGTGTCAGTAGCCGGCGGTCAGACCTCAGTGTTCCATCGCGGCACAGCAAACAGGCCACACTGATTCTCATTTAAGGCTTCACACCCAGTAACGTAGCAACACAGACATTGTTCAATAGTTCTAATCCACGAATCTCTCCACCCAGTTGATCTTTTAGTATGGTGTAGCCGGTTGGTGGCACATTTTTGCTTGTAGCCATTCATTCTGCTTCCAATGAAGCAGCCCGTTTTATTCGGTGGGTGCACAGTGAATAGGTGACAAAGTCACCATCGTCAAACAATGGTTTCGATGAATTCTATCAGCTGTCCCACTTTTTCCTCCCACTTGTAGGTCACGGAGACCCCCTGGACAACTATGTGAACACGCAGGGGGCATCGTTGTTCACTCTCAGTAAGAAGAGTTTGGAAGCCGAAAGCATTGCTGAATGTGCAGAAAAATGTGAGGAAGAAACAGAATTCATTTGCAGGTATTTTTATTGTCATTGAACCTATGCAGACATCTTATTGTTTGAGACACTATTATTTTGATATCAAGAAATTTGCTCATGGATTTGACAAAAACAGAATTTAAGAGGAAAGAGGGATTTCATGGAATTGGGGATTGGAATCTGTATTTGAGCCCATATAGTTTCTTGTTATATTTATTAGTGTCCCCTTTAGGAAAATGCCCCCAAAGGAACTTATTTATTGTTACAGATGACATGAGCAGCTATTACTCAGAGCTCTAGTTTTTCACAACATCGTCACTAAATATTTATGGAGGGTCACATGGGAGGAAGTGTCCCAGACGCTAAGGAGCAAAGCAGCATAGATACAGTGGCCCAGTGTGTACGAGTGGCACTATATAGGGTCGCTCCTTGTAGAGAGACACCATCCAGACCTTGCCCTTTGTAGTCATGGTGTAATCACAAAAATAGGATAAAATGTACATTTAAAAAAATACAGCCAGTGTGAGGTATCGATAAGTGACATGATCAACACATGCTCTACAAAATTCAGAGGACAGAATGATTCCCAAGCGTAGATACAGCCAGGAGGGCCTCAGGGAGGAGGTGGGAGCTGAGCTGGGCTTTGAAGGGTGAGGGAGAGCTTGCAAATACTGATGAGGCTGGAGGCGTTCTGGGCCTTCACCGGGCTGGGGGCCAAGAACGGACCACGGTGGCTAAAACAACAGGGTCACGTAGGAGAGGGGACTGGAAAGGCCGCTGTGGATGGCTTTCAGTGCCAGCTTGAACTTCCGCAGCGGCACCGTGTGGATGGGCAAGGATGTGTGAGGTCAAAGGGGTGGGGGTGGGATGGAGAGGTGTAGGTCGGGGGGAAATGACAGGAGTCATACACACCATTTTGGGAATAAGTTCGAAGCAACCAGGTTTGCGTCTTTCCGACACAAAAGGAAGTATTCTGGAACTTAAGAGCAGGAAAGAAGAAATGGAGAGCAGTTAGAACAGGAAGAGAAAAGTTAGAGGACCAGAGGGAGAAAGTCAAGTTAGGAACAAAACAAGAGCAACCACCGTGTTGCTGTACCGGTTTTGCAGCATCTCATTGAAGGGCCCGCATTGAACCGAAAGTACCAATTCTGAGCCCCTTGATCCATCAGAGATACAATTGCCTGTAGAGTCTCCTGCTTCTCAGCAGAAGTGTGCTTTCTAATTAAAGGAGAACGTTGGTTGAGTTTCCTGACTCTCTTCTGCAGGGCATTCCAGTACCACAGCAAAGAGCAACAATGTGTGGTAATAGCCGAAACCAGCAAATCTGCCCCGGTCTTCAGGATGAGAGATGTCATTTTATTTGAAAAGAAAAGTGCGTGCAATGTTTTCTTTTTAGTTCTCCTCCTGTTCATCTACTGCTTCTCCTCCCTGTCCCCGCTCTCCCCTCCCTCTCCTTCACGCCTGTAGTTTATCCGACCGCAGAATGGAGACACGGTGGGGCCGCGACATGGAATAGGGAGTAGGAGCCAGGTACGGTCACTAACCCACTCTGTCAGCTCCAGTACGTGACTTCCCCTTATGTTTTGTTTTTCTTAATTTAAAAATGAAGGGATTGGATTTACAAAGTCACTTCTACCTCTGTGACTTTGAAGTAAAATATTCAGCATTTTATCGTACCTTTAAGGAGGCGTCGGGGAGTCCCGATGGTCCTTGCGACCTTGGCTGAGTTCCCCGGGGACCCTGGTCCTTGCGCTCTGGGGCTGCAGCCTGGAGAGAGAAAAAACACTGAAGCGTTTTAACTCCCCAGTAGCATTTGCATAGAGACAGAATTTTTATTTTTATTCTTAAAATATCTCCTCTGATGGGGGCGGAGTGGGGGTCATGGCCTGTATTTCCCTCAGACTCTGAAATATTGTCTTTTGAAAATGGGCCAGAGTTGTAGTTTCTTTCCCATAGTTTTCTTGAGAACCCTGGATTGGCTGTCCCACCGGTCGGGATGACAGATGGCCTACATTTCTATGGAAATTGCATGCCTTTTTAGACATGAAGACATTCATGAAAGTATGTATGAAGATTTAAGTGAATGTCTGATGTTTTTAAAACTGCCTCCTGAAAACTGTTGTTGGCGAGGTATTTACACCATTTGTACTACAACACCCCGGCTCTCCAAGCACTGGGTTATCACAGGTGTGAGAGACAACGAGGGGCTTCCTGCTTCATGTATTCCTGACAACAGCTCGACACAGTCTCTTCAGCCTCACTGCAGAACTCTAAGATTTTTAAAATTGTCTTTGGGTCGGGATCATTTCTACGCATTGGCCCATCTTAGGTTTGATTAGCTGTGGGCCTGCCTTCCTCCTTCCTGGGCACTGTTTATCTTGAGTTCTTGAGAGTAAAGTGCTGATTAGACCTAAAATGTATCTGAAGTGATGAGTTCTTACATAGGATCACCTATTGTCCACCAGGTTTAAAAAAGAGCGGGGAGGGGTCGGTGGGATTCTCAACGCTAACATTTCAATGCCATTTGTAAATTGTTAAATGGGAGGGACAGGGAGGTGACTGCCAGCCTTAGCTTGAATAGCTGCAGTTGCCCGTTTTCCAGGGAGGAGAAAGTTTATGTAAACTCTGGCAGGCATGTACAAACAGAAGCGAGGTACAAAGTCAAAAGTCAGCCATTTTTGGGTGCTTGCTTCTTTCCTGTGGAATGTGGACCCACTGCTGAATTACCTGCTGGCATTTTTCTGGGAATAGCCAGTGTCCCATTAACACCTGCTGCTCGCTGCCATGGCCACTGCCACCACCTGGTCTAAGCTGCCGTCGTTCCTGGCCGGGTCCCTGCCGTGGCGGGTCTGCAACATCCCTGCTTCACAGCCGCAGTGCCCTTGGAGCAGACTCCAGGTGCTTGCCAAGGGCTGCAGCGCCTCCGGTCACTGAGTCCCAGCCTGTTTGCTGGGCTCGCTAAGCTCGCACCTGCTCCTGCCACCTGCCAAGCATGCGGCCCTGCTGCCTGGGACCCTCTTCTGTTCTTTCTGGGGCCGGTCCCTTCTCATCTCCCAGGTCTCCGCTCAAGCCTCGCCCCCTCTTCAAAGTCTCCCCTGACCTCGGGGACTTGAAAGTGCCTTGAGTTTACACTTTGGGCAAGTGTCCTAGGCCTCCTGTAAGGATAACCCTCGATGAAGGTAACATGTGATCTTTATGCAGACAGTTGGGTTAAAAGCACTAGTTTGCTGTCGGTGTGTTAGAAATCCTTTCCCCAGATCATTGATCCATCATTTAAAACTCTTGGCTAAAGTGGGGAATCTTGAAAGATGATACAACTATACCCTGAATAGTTTAGCTTGTCACTGCAAACAGAAGTTTGCCTTGGCACATTTGGGTGGAGGCTTTTTGGCTTTGTATATGACCCTCAAACAAGAGTTACCAGGTATAATTCTTGCATAAGCTCCACTCTAAGTGCCTTGTCTACGACAATGTGGTTTCTTTGAAGTGGAGCAAGTTCTAGAGACCGCTATTCATCAATCTAACTGTAAAACACCTTTATATTTTTATGATCTCCCCTCAAATTCATGGAGTTGACTCTGTGAGTGGATTGCCTGCAGTGAACTTGAGAGCAATTTTTTAAACTATCCAGTTCTCTCAAGTCCTGTAAAGCATTCCACTTAGCCAAAAGAAGCCTTTTTCCCCCTCATTTATTTTTGAGGGGGAAAACATTGTAATAACTATGTATCGTGCCAGGTTGATTTAGATCATCTTTAATCAAATACAGCTGGCTGTGTAAAAAGTTTTCACAATAAAAACAGTCGACTCTTGGTAAGCATGGGACCCAACCGGTGGGACCGGAAGTGGGCAGACACGCGAGGAAGTGGCCTGCTAGCCACAGGTGCCCTCCCCAAAGCACGTGGGGCCCAGGCAGGCCCCCGACAGTGTGTTTTAAAGACAGGATGGAGCCCCTCCCTTGTGGTTGGGTGAGTGGTGGCTGGTTGAGAGCGTTTACTGTGAACATTTAAAGGAGACCAACCACAATTTTATCACCCTGTGTGACAATTTTCATATTTCAAATACTGGGAGCCTCAAAGAATTGAGGTGGCTTGGGTCTCTTTTGGCCCCTGAAAAGCCCAACCTGCCTGAAAGCCTTTCTTCCCATCCCCTTCACTCTCTCAGCAAGCTGCTGATTTTCTCTGTCACGCATGTCACTATGAGGGTGCACCCTTGATAACTTTCGGTAACCGGCCCCCTAAGGCCACTAGAATATGAGTTCCACGGGGGTAGGACCTTCCCCTGTCCCACACACCGTGGGCCCCAGCACCTAGTGTGGTGCCTGGTGCCCGGAGGGGCTGTGGCTTGGAATACATGTATCAAAGCACCAAATGGCTTCGTTCACTGCAGCTCCTCCACAGACATAAAAGGTGCTCTTGCACGGTAGGACCGTGGTGTCATCTGCCATACATGTCCTTTCTCTCAACATGCTGAGCAGTGCAGGGCTTTGCCTGAACTCTCCTGTTGTGGGAAGAACTGATCGCTGTGTGGGCTTCTTTTCAGTGTATCTTTCCGAGTGCAAGACCGGAAACGGAAAGAACTACCGGGGGACGGTGTCTAAAACAAAAAACGGGGTGACCTGTCAGAAATGGAGTGACAACTTTCCACACAAACCTAGGTAAGGCTTTGTCGCCCATCTCTGTGCTCACCTAGTGTGCTTGCAATGTTCCAGTCCCTCCACCCGCACCCAGGACAGGCGGCCAAACGGGCTCAGAGAGGACCTGATCGATGCCGACGTGGGAAGGATCAATTATTTCTAGCCGAAATGCAGAAAGTGGTTTTTCTCCATTCGCTCTTGTGTATGTACTTTTCTGGAAGATCTAGATCATAGAAGGAGGCTAGTTTAAAAAAAGAAGAACAACAACAAGAAAACCTGAATTCTAGGCTGAGTCTGAGAGAAAAGCCAAAGGCGACCATATCTGGGGCTCGGTCCGCTGAAATCAAACCAACCAAATTAGAGCCCTCATCACGCGTCACCTCAGCATTGCAGAGCGAGAGAATGAGTAAAACCTAAATGAAACATGCATGATCTCTCAATTTGCTTATTCATTTAGTGTCACTCTCAGTGTACGTCTCCCAGTAGGGCATCAGGTGTCATTAAGTTTGCAGTAACAATGCTTTGATCGAGGAGGATTTGATGTCCGTTACCCTGCCCAACCCCCGGCCAAAACAACCGCCTTTACTGCGTGAGATGGGCAGATGTAATATTCTCAGGATGTTATGGCTTCCAGAGGTAAAAGGAGTAAACCAAACAGCCAAACCAGAGCCTGCCAGGGCTCCTGGAGGTGACCTAGGTCATCTCTAGCCCAAGGGTGAGGAATCAGAAACAAAAGCCGCCCTTTCAGACTCGGGGGCTTGGGCTTTTGATTTAACATTTTGCCTACACAGCAACTCAGTTCTAGATCCGAAAAGGAGCTTAACTCCCCCTCGCCTCCCATTAAATCTGGCTGCATTTCCAAGAGAACGTGCTGTTTGGAATCAGACAGATCTGACTTCCGTTCTTGAGAGGCTGTTTATTAATTGTCCAGACTCAGGCAAGGTTTGGTTTTATATTTCTGCGTCTCAGTTTCCTCACGTGTAAAATAAGGATAATAACACATTCCTGGTGGGGGTTTGTCTGTTTTTTTTAATTGAGCCTAAACAAGAGAAAGTATAGAAGGATTTTAGTGTCACCTTGGAGCACGATTCCCACAGGCAAAATGGTGTGCACTACTATTATTTTTACAGAAGCAACTGACAAAAGCAGGTGTTTGGAACAAATCAGGAAGTTAGCAGGCTTTGGAGGCTTTTGTTTCTACTGTCTGCGCATCAAAAATTTGGCTCTACTTCTAGGACGTGTCTGTAAATACAGTAATAACGGTAATGTTGGCCACTGTCCTGAGTGGAGAGGTTGCAAATCGGACAACACAAACCCTTCAACACGTAGCTAGGATGCATTTGATGGCCAAACCTTGAACTTCAGGTGGGAAGTAGGAAGCGCCCCATTCTGTGCGGCTGATAACATGCTGATGTTTAAAATGCCGTCCACGCGGTTCCTTTCCATCCTGCACAGGTATTCACCCAGCAGCTACCCTTTGGAGGGCCTGGAGGAAAACTACTGCCGGAACCCAGACGACGACATCAACGGGCCCTGGTGTTACACCACCGACCCGGACAAACGGTTCGACTACTGCACCATCCCAGAATGTGAAGGTCAGGAGTGGCTCTGACCCTGCTTCCGCCTCTCCCTTCGGCCGTACACTCTTTTGCTGTACAGCCAATGAGTCTGTGTTGGGCAGAACGGAGTCGCGCGCGAATCTCGTGGAAAGGATCAAACTTTGCTCAGACCCCCAGTACTGACCTGAATTATTTTTATTAAAACGTACCTTCAACGTGTACAAATACAAAACTACATGTGAACTCCAGATACAACCTTTCTAGGCTTAAAGCTCGACCGGGTATAAAGACAAAAACAGGTTTGCAATCAAGTAGTTGAGATAAAAATCACACAATCAATACAATTCAAATGAACAGTAGTCATTTAATGGGGGATACTTTGTTGTTGCACTGAAGCAAAGCAATGAACCAGTTTTAAATCAGCAATTCGTTATTTTAATAAGCCAACCAATTTAATAGCACATCTCCAAAGCCAATGCTAAAAATTAAAAACATCCTATTGAAAAAACGTTCTTCATTTCACAGTTCCTGCTCCATTTATTGGTGCAAGCGGGGATGGAGGACAGTGGATTTGTGCAGCCTTGTGACAGAGTGTGCATCGGGGACATTCAGGTCCCCGTCACCTTATCTCGTTCAGCTCTGGGGACTCTATTTTTATACTATGGTATGAGGTCATTTGTCCCTTAATTGACACTAACGCATCATTTTTGTTCCCAACTCTGACTCCTTTTTTCCTTGTGACTCCACAGAACTTAAAGCCTTACCTCACCCCGCTGTCCCATGCTATCTCAATAATTCCGAATCAAAGCTTCTGTTTTTAAATAGTGTAAGAAAGCAAAGAGCAGCCAGGCACACTTCTCGGTCCTCTAAAAAGAGAACTGCTGCGGGCCGCGGTGGACACGTTCCCCAGAGAGGTCGTGGGCTCCGGCCAGAGCACCGCCCTCGAATCCTGGGAGGGGGCGGCCATCCGTGGGAGCAGATCATGTCGCAGGCATTTTTAAAGATTCTTACGGGAACCAAGACACCCAGCATTATTAAAAAATCCTAGCAGAGACCTTAGAGACTTCTGAGAATACGTGCGCCCTGCCCCGACCCCCCACCACCAAGGGCCAGCGCAGCCCGGTCTGAGGACACGGCGTTGCGGACTTTCAGGATTTGCCATGACGATATTACAGTTGAGGGGTCTTGACCAAAATACTCTAATTTTACCATTTGAAGGAAAAAGTGATACTTTAGGTTGTGTTAGAAAATCAAGTATTGCCAATTTCATCGCCAAGTGATTGTTGGAAAGTACTTGTGAACAAGGGACAAGTGGCATTTGAGACATCGCTAGTGGGATTCCAGTGTTCACTCTGCTTCATCCGCTTCAGTTTCTTCCCTTCTTCCCTTCTTGTCCACCTGCTTAGATGAATGTATGCATTGCAGTGGAGAAAACTACCAGGGCAAAACCTCCAAGACCAGGTCCGGACGCGAATGCCAGCCTTGGGGCTCTCAGACCCCGCACACTCACGGCTACCTTCCTTCCAAGTAAGTCGCACTGGGAAAGCAATCCGATGTTCATGGCTTCGGGGCATTTAATGTTATTTCAAGGTTTTGGCATTCCTCAAGAAAGGAACATAGCTGGTATTTTGGAATCTCAGAGTTTGTCTCTTCCCACATGACCGCAAAAGAAGTATGGATTCTCGTTTCTCAAAATGGGGCCCAGGCTGAGTGGTAGCACCTGAGGGTGGTTAGACAGGCAGAACCTCAGACCCTCTGAACCGGAATCCGTTAATAACCGGTGTTCTGGCTGCGTTGCGTGTGGGTGAACACGTCAGGAATACAGATCCATCGCACTTGTGTGTTTCCCCAATACTTTCCTCTTCTCTCTATTCTTTTTCTTTCCTTCATACCAATGAGATCCAAGGCTTCCTAACCTACACTCTGTGGGTGGGCTTTGGGGGTTTTGTGAATCACTGCATGTTTTATGTGTATTTATAGCAGTGCAATTTTTCTGGGGGGAGGATTCCTAACTTTCACCAGATTCTCAAAGGGGGTCTTGGATTTACCATAGGAATAAGAGTTCCTGACCTAGAAAACCTTACCCTACTTCACAGGGATTGTTCTGGAAAACCCCTCCCTTTCTGTGGCTGCCTCTGATTTTTCTCTTCATCCTTTGATGACTGTAGGATCATATTGGCACTTAAAAAAACCGTATAAACAGTGAGACTAAGCCCCAGATTTCACTGTGGGTCTGGCAGTCAGTCATCCTTCCGGGCCCTGAAACCGCTCCATGGAATTTCTGTACCTCCCATTCCAAAGAGTTAACTCCAAACACAGCATCTGCCTTTTTCATTCAAGGAGAATCATGGGAAAGTCCTCAAGGCCCCAAGCTGGGAAAATGCACTTCCAGGATAGAAGAAGGTTGCCTAAGCCACTGCTGTTTGCTTTGCTCACCTTGCCTGGGCGCATGTGGCCCCAGAGAGGGCGTAAAATCAACCCAGAGGGCATGTGGCATGGCACGCGACTCCCTGTCCTGTCCCCTGGCCCCCCGTCCCCACTGAGGAGGGCTCGCCGCCTGTGCCTTTGGGCTGGGTGCTCACAGGGACTCGGCTTGTCCCTGTCGGTTTCTGTGAGCTTAAAGGCTGGCAGGACCAGAACCTGGTGGGCCAGAAGGGTCGTTTCTTTAAGCCCCAAAGATGACAACGAGCAAGTACCTTATGTTTTAAAAACTGCTAGTATTTGTGGTTGAGTAATTGGAGTTTGCGTGCATCGATTTTCCACGTGGTCTAAATGATTGTTACTAATCCAGTGCTGTGATTTTTCATGCACGGAAACCACTAGGAAAGCACTCAGACTACTGAGCTGATCTTCCTTAAGAGACTGGCATCTCTTTGAGGACAGCCCTCATCCGGTCACCTCCGTGGGTACTGGACAGAGCCTAGCACCCAGTAGGTGCTTCGTATTTGCTCATTTAAAAGGATTCGTGTCTGTAAATATTCGGTGCTATTAAACTCCTTCTTGCCCGTTCAGATTCCCAAACAAGAATCTGCAGATGAATTACTGCCGGAACCCTGATGGGGAACCCCGGCCCTGGTGCTTCACCATGGACCCCGACAAACGCTGGGAATTCTGCGACATCCCACGCTGCAGTGAGTACAGCCCCACCCGGTCCTCAGGGGCCCTCGCCCGCTCTGCCCTTGGAATTAAAGAAAAATGTACTTGTGCCTGAGAGTCGTGTCTAAAAAGCACCCTAGAGATGCTGTGGGATATGGCTGCTCTTTTAAAACCATCTATTCGTCACTCTAGGTAATTGTCAGAGCGTCCATTGATCTTTTTGTTTTTTGGTTTTCCTGTCAAAGACAGTTGGATGTGGGCTCTCGAAGGGTAGCTCTGATATCGTTCGAGAGGAAATCGGACCCATGCTTTCTGTGTATGATGCCATTGTTACCCTGAGTTCTTTCTGAGCATTGCTTCGTAAACAAGAGTGTCTGGTGTCCAGGTTTCGGAATGTCCACCTTGTGAGTGAGCAACAGGAGAAGAGAGTTCAGGGTGAGAAGGTGAAATGACTGACTTAACAAGAAAGACCTGAGAAAAACCATTTTATAATATTTTCCTTTGAGAGTTCCGCCCTGAGAATTTGAAGCAAGGGAGTAGATGTTTAGATGAGGACAGCCACCAAAAGTTCAAAAGGACTCAGCAGGCCCTAAGGGCGGGCTCTCCGCTCCTGGGTCTGACAGTCAGTCATCCTTCCGGGCCCTGAAGTTCCCCAGGTGCTCTCCTTCTTCCTGAGCAACAGTTTCTTTTTTTTTTTTTGTCATCTTTTTTTTTTCCCCCTCAAGACTTTCATGATTTCTGGATGTACACGCCCTTCCTCGGAGACAGTTTTTGACCTTCTTCTTTATGGACTCTGTTGGCTTTATGGAATCCTGAGTGTCATTTAGTTATGTTTGTTTGGTGGGTAATTACTCCGCACAGAGGAAGCTGGGTCACTGGTCCATATGAGCGTTCAGGGAGAGGGTGCCATATTGATCCTTACCACGTACATCTGATAGGGAAAGAGAAGGTAGAAAAAATTACTCTGAGGGCCTTGTTCCTGGAGGAATTCCACATGAGCTGACTTCATAAACATAGATTCTACCAAGTCAGCTTCTTCTAAAAATGATAAGCAATTTTCAAATGCCAAATTCCAAGAGAGGGTGGGCAGAAAAGAAGCCCGGCCGGTGCCCCCGGAATCCACCTCCCGTCCCATCCATCTGTGCAGCCTTCATTTCATAAACATTCACTGTAATTTCTTATCCCCATTCAAGCAACGCCCCCGCCACCTTCCGGCCCCACATATCAGTGTCTGAAGGGAAGAGGTGAAAACTATAGAGGGAATGTGGCTGTCACCGCTTCCGGGCACACTTGTCAGCACTGGAGCCAACAGACGCCCCACAAGCACGAGGTGACCCCAGAAAACTATCCCTGCAAGTAAGTCCGCCTCTGGGCTCACTCCCTTTTGTCTGAATGAAATGTGAGGTCCCACGGACTTTGCTTTCATTTCAGTTACTATGGGTAGAGTATTCTGGAATGAAAACTGGCCAAGTCCCGTGCAAGGGAAGTGAAATTCACCCGCGATTTCCCCACAACACTGGTCCTCCTGATCAGCAGCATGGGCAGCTTCAGGGTTTTGTTAGAAATGCAAATTCTTGGGCCCTCAAGCAGCATTGCAAAGTTGTGGGTCCACGACTGCATTTTGCTGAGCACTGAACTAAATTCATAGTCAGGTTTGAAACTGCTTCAATTCCAGGGCCACGTGGGATATATTTTCCGAGACAGGAACATCGTGGAAAATACCTGTTGCATTTGGCCTCGAGCACCATGCCCAATACAGAGCAGAGCTATTTTGCTTGACTAGACACAGTCCAGAAATACGTTTTAATCATTTACCCCAGAGAAGCCTCTGTCCCAAAATGCTATGGAATCCTAAAGAGTCCTGTGCTGCTCACATTTCCACCTATTTTTCAGTTTGCATCAGTCTGGAGAATTAGCGGGCTATGTGTCCAATATCCCTATGACCAAGCATGCGTGCACCTTGTTATTTATTTAGCCTTATTTGGAAAGTCGAACTCACAATCGCTTCTTCTTCAGAAATTTGGAGGAAAATTACTGTCGTAACCCTGACGGACAGCCAGGTCCCTGGTGCTATACCACCAACAGCAGTGTGAGGTGGGAGCTCTGTGCCATCCAGCCCTGCAGCTCCTCCGCAGGGACCACAGAACCGGACACCCAAGGTAGGAAAGGGGGCGGGGCGCTCCCCAAGGGCCTGGGGCTCTCTGTCCTCTTCTACCCCAGGGCTAGTCCAACATATACAAGCTTTGTTTATGGTTCACTTCTGTTCTTGTCAGAGAATGTGCTCCATGGTTTCAGCTATTTCACATTTGTGGAGGCCTGTTTTACGGTTCAGGATTGGTCAGCTTGGTCAACGTTTCATGTGCTCTTGAAAAGAATGTGGCTTCCACTGTGGTGGGGTGGGGTGTTCCGTAAAGGCCAACTAGGTCACATTGGCTGGCGCTGCTGAGCTCTTCGGCACGCTCACGAACCTCCCCGCTCCTATCGCAGCAGTCGCTGAGAGGGGATGGTGGTGTCTCTGACTTCGGCTGGGTATTTGTTGGCTTCTTTCTGATTTTCTGTTTGCCTTGTATATTCTGGAGCTCTCTCTTGGACAGACACACTTAGGATTGTTGCGTGTCGTTCAGAAGTGACCCCTTTAGCCTTATGTCTCTCCTTATCTCTGAAACTGTTCCTTGTTTTGAAGTCTATTTATGCTGCTATGAATACAGCCATTGTAGCTCTATTTCCACTAGTGTTTGTGTGCTATATCGTGTTTCTCAACCTTTTAGTTGGGATGTGTGGACCATGTAATGTAATTGTTAATATGGTTGGATTTAATTCTACCATCAAGTTAGCTCTTTCTCCTTGTCCTATTTGAATTCTGGTCCTTCTTTCATCCTTTTATGTCTTTACATTAATTAGGTATTCTTTGATTGTCTTTTATCACTGCTCTTAGTTTAACCAGTTTTTAATGTTTTTAGTATTTTTCCTAATGTTTATGGTATAGACCTTTAACTTATCACATCCCACCTTCAAATAATATTATTTTACTAGACATGTAATGTGAGAACCTTATAACATCATACTCCTAATTCCCTCCTACCAAAATATTGTACTTTTGTTCTCAAAGAGCTTACTTCTGTTATAAGTCTCACAGTACATTTCTATTAGTGCTGCCTTAAACAGTCAGTGACTCTTTAAAGTGATTATAAATAAAACATATCTTTTGTGTACAGCTTTATTTATTTACTTTTACCATTTCTGGTGCTCCTCACTTCTTTTTGTAGGTTCCGATTTCCATCTGATGTTGTACTCTTTCAGTAAAACACTTAACCTTGAACATTTCTCGTATTATGGGCCTGCTGCTGCTGAAGTCTTTCAGCTCCTGGATGTCTGAAAATGTTGTTATATTGTCTTAGTTTTCAAAAATAATTTTTTGTTGTGTATAGAACTCCAGGTGGACAATTTCCCCCCCGTTCACCACTTTAAAGATCTTCCTCCATTATCTTCTTTTTTGAGTAGTTTCTGACTGGAAATCTTTGTTTACCTGTATTTAATATTTCTTTTTGTCTCTGGCTGCTTTTAAGACCTTCTTTCATCTTTGGTTTTCGGTAGTTTAATTATGGTATGTCTAAGTGTGTTTACTTATTTTTGGTATTTATGTTGTTTAAAGTTCTCTGAGCTTCTTGATGTGCATGTCGTTGATTTTCATTACTTTTGTAAAATTCTCAGCCAGGACTATTTAAATATTTCTTTTTCCCTTCTTTCTCTCTCTTTCCCTTTTTCAGACTCCAATTATCCAAATGTTAGACCACTTCATATTGCCTCATACTTCTTGTATCTTGTTCTGCTTTTCCCCTCACTTTTTCCCCTCAGTGGGTCAGTATGGATAATGTCTGTTAACCTGGTTTCAAGTTCCCTGATTCTTTCCTCAGTTATGTCTACTCTGCTGATTAGCTCACTGAAGAAATATCTGATATCATCTTTGATACATAGTTTTTATTTCTAGCATTGCATTTTATTCTTTTTTTAAATTTTCACTTCTGCTGAAATTCTTCGTCTGTCCGTGCATGACGTTCCCCTTGGCTACACGATTCCTTACCAGGGTCCCTCACTGTTACGTCACAATCTCAATCTGGTGGCCACCCCCCCTCAGTCTGAGTGGCTCTGATTCCTCTGAGGCTGGCCCTAGTGACTGCTTTATCACTCAACAGTGGCTTCTGTTCACTTGGCTCTTTTGGTGTGTTTTAGAATTGTTTTTTTACCAAGTGCCAAACATTGTATGTAGAAGACCAGTACAGATTAAAGTCAATATTAGCTATAATTTTAAATGAGAACCTTTTAAATGTTGTCCATATGTTGTACGAGTAATTGAATTAAGAGAGGCAACAGATAAGCTGATTTTGGGATTTGTTGTTGTTGCTTTTACCTTAAGTGAACCACAGGTCTCAGATTCCCCTGGTTATGGGCTATTGTTGCCTTGGTCTTAGAGTCTGAAGATCCATGTCTGCATTCCTGGTCATCCTCAGCGTTTAGCAGAAACTGCACCGCAGCGGGGGTTGCTCCATGCTCTTCCTCCAACCCCAGTCATAGGCTGTTGTTTCTTCTCACTGAATGCTAAGCTTTCGGTGGAGTTAGACATTCTTTCTCTTCCTCATCTTCCCTCAATCTTAGACAAACTCCGTGGACCTGGGCTTTGAGGGTGGTGTTTCTCCATGGTCTTGCCCCTTCTTCTAATGGAGCTAAGCTCTACCTTGAATCTGTGGTGGATCTTGAGTGGAAGAATAGTGGGCTTCAGCTTTGTGTTGGTGAAGGACCCTGGGCACAGGAGGTTTCCTGTTGCTGCTCCAGGAGAGTAAGAGCCTTGCCTCAATCTCTCCCTGAGGAGCAACGGGCATTTCCCACCCCACCCTGCAGCAGCTCAAGGTTTCAGTTTTGCATAAGCAAAGAATCTTGGGACAGGATTTACACCTGTCCCCACTGGCACCCCGCCGCCCCCTGTGGCCTGTGCCACGGAATGTGTCCCCCGGTCTCCCACCCAGCTGTGTGAATGCCCAGTGGAGATTCCTAAAAAGAAAAAGCTTGCACATGAGTACAATTTCCAATTATAAGCCCTCTGACCTGCTTGTTTTCCGCCCCCCCCGACTCCGAGTTTTAAATTAACCATTTACCCCAAATGGTTATTTTAATGGTTCGGTCATTAAAGTTCTAGTATGTTCCGGATCTCTTGTTCTCTTTGCATCTCTGTCCTGCCTGCCAATGGCGGAGAGTGTTCTCTCACAGAGACCGCTGTGCTGCTTGTGCTATGCACGGCTTCTCACACGTCAGTCCTAGCTGTCGGTCACGGATTTCTTCTGCTCCGATTTCAGCGCTACCCGAACAAACTCCTGTTGTCCAGGAGTGCTACCAGGGCAAAGGGGAGAGCTATCGAGGCACATCGTCCACGACGGTCACAGGGAGGAAATGTCAGCTTTGGTCATCGATGACGCCCCACCACCATGATAAAACCCCAGAAAAATACCCAGATGCGTAAGTCTTTGATCTTTAACCGGGAGACGAGCAACAGGTAACCTAAATTTGTTCAAAGGGCCAATGTTTAAGCTGACTTCTGAGAACCAAACTTCGCTTGGCTCCAGAATGCGAAGCAAAATGTCTCAGGTGCCTCGTTCTTGAGCATAATTCTGAAAGAGGGGAAGTTGGAGGCTGGCTGTCTCTCCTGAGTAGGTCTGTGGAAGCTGGAGGGTTGGGGTCGATGAGGGGTCAAGGTCACAGGAGTGGAAGGCTCAGGGAGGGAAATGACCAAAAGATCAGTAACAGTACCATGCCGCAACGCCTGCTGAAGATCAAGGCCGTCTTTCAACTGTGGGACTTTATCATTCCAATCTCTGGTCCCCGCAGAGAAGTTTGTGCTTGTCATTGAGTCATGGTACCTATAACCTGACCGGTCCAGACATATTTGAGCCTAAGCCCTACAGTCTGGAGGGACATGAGTTGCCAGGACACAAAGAGGAAAAGCAGGGAGGGGGACGAGAGTCAAGAAGTGTACAGATGCCGATAGGAAAGACCAGGTCTGACTGGACCAGCCTTTTTGCCATACAGGGATAAGCCTTTTAATGCATCCAGTTGCTTGGACCGCCCCCTCCCCCCACCCCCCACTGGCTTCCTCAAAATGTGGGTCCACGCCTGAGACTGTCACTGAGATTGTCTGTAGTACCTATAGAAACAGTGTCAGATTCTCATACATATAATGCACCTCAAATGTTCTTGGACAGCCCCAGGTTACGGGTCTAAACTGGAAAGGGGATTCCAAGGCTGAGAATTCTTCAAGGCTCGGGCAATGCTCCAGGGAGGCCCTGGGGGATCGAGTCACCCAGTGTCCCAGGCTCCTCACCCACATCTTCCTGATTCTCCCATAAGCCCCCAGCTCCCTCAGGTCCCCTAGTCTACCCAGACGTCCCTCTCCATCCCTTCATCCTACTGTTCTTCAGCATGATCCCCGTCCCCTGTCCCTGAGGGGCTGTGGGGAGGGAGGTGTGGCAGGTGGGCAGAGAGAGAACAGGGCAGGGCTCCTCCCCTTGCCCCAGAATGCACCCTCCAGGAAGGACCCGTGGCCTGGGCGCTGGTTTTCCAGGCAGGCTTCCAGGAGCCCTTCACACCCTGAGCCCACGTGATCTCCCAGATGTGACAGTTGCAGTTATGTTACGCTCCGGTTTTGCTTTCATGGCAAGTGCGCCCCGCTTGAACTACACGCTGAGGAACTAGATTAGGAAGGCGGCCCCGAATGTGCCATCCTCTTGTATGTCGTTTCTCCTTTGGAGAAATACATCCTTGTTCCAGCTTTCACAGCCCTGTGTGGTCTTACAAGGAAACATGGACAGAGACGTCGAGATATTCGGATATGCATAGAAAGAAATCTCAAATATACATTTCAAGATCCATGTTGGATCTTGACCTTGGAAGGAGACATTCTGATACTTTCTTTACATTTTATACATCATCTCAGCTTTTACGCGAAGGATACATTACTTTTGGTTTTTTGAAATAAAAGCAATCATCTATTTTTAAAATTGTTCAGACTGGTTGAGGACCTGTGCTTGTGGCATTATAATACTAATTAGCACCTTTGGTATCTTTAATGGAAATCTTTCAAAGTTAAGATGTTGGCAAAGCCACATTCAGAGGGGGGCGGGGGGAGGGGAGGGGGCTCTGGGGGGTCCTCCTGCCACTCAGGCCCTGTCACATGGCACCCACAGCGGCCTGACGATGAACTACTGCCGGAACCCGGACTCCGACAACGGCCCCTGGTGTTACACCACCGACCCCAGAGTGCGGTGGGAGTTCTGCAACCTCAAAAAGTGCTCAGAAACGCAGCAGAGTGTCCCGCCCATTCCACCGCAAACCCAGGTTCTGAGCACTGTGGGTCCGAAAGCAGGTACGCCGCCAGCCGGACGCCTGCAGGCTTGGGCACTGGGAGGAGAGGCTGGGAGGCTGATGGGTGCAGAGGCTCCGTGGCGACCGGGGACTCCAGGGTTGTGGGAGGAGCCTTGGCGCGCCACCCTGGTGGGGACAGGGACAGAGCTGCTGGTGCTGGTATAAGGTGGGGCAGGGAGTGGGGTGGGCGGTTTCTTTGGGGCCCGAAACCTGGTGGGGACAGATGGGTAAAATGGGGAGCCTGGGTGGGTGCAGAGGTTGATAACGGTGGCATGAGCTGGAACAGGACATTCTAGAAAAGCAATCTGTGGAGGGATAGAAAGGATTACCGTGGCTGTGACCATCCTGAGTTAGGGGTGCTTAGTCAGACAGTCAAAAATGACACGTGGCTGTAAGGGTTGTTGGGTCATGTGAGGTAGGAGCTTCCCAGGTCCTTGAGTTGTCACCGTACCCGCTGAGCACCTGCTCCTGTGGCTGCCAGGCAGCAGGCAAGTGCTCTGCCCCTTCACAGGTGAGAAAACTCAGGGAGAGGGGGTCACTCTCCCCTGCCCCCGCAAGGAAACAACGGTCACATGGCTTGTCTGACCACTTTCGGTCCCTTCAAAGTCCGCCGGGCAGTCAGGATTCAAAGGCGAGCTTGCTCGGATGTTGAGAGCCCTCCCCTGACCCCTACAAGGCTGGGGCTCACCCGCCGCTCCCGGCCCCGGCCCAGCCTCTCTCCCTCCTCTGTGCCCCACGGGGCACCCCTCCTGGATAAGACTCAAGGGGGCCTCGTGTGGTTCTCGCATGGGTTTGCCCCCCATTTAGCGCACAGTCATGCACACACCCTGGTCCTGGCCAATGTTGGGGTGCAGGCTGCCTGGCACGGCCCCCAGCTTGGCAGAGAAGCTGCCTGGCCCAGCTTTTGCTTTCCGGGCTTTCCAAAGGACCATCAGGACACTGTGCCCGCCTTCTCCACATGGGACACACATCAAGTTCTCTGAAAGCCCTATGGTTCGAGAGGAGAGGCAAGCTTGGGGAAGGTGTCCCAAGTTATCTCTGTAACCTTTTTAACCCCAGAGATGGTGGGGACTCTAAGCACAACTCCAGCCAAAGACGAGTTTCTAGAAAACCCTTGACACGTGCACTCCCCGTATCCACCATTGGTGAGAGGGAGGCGTTGGAGAGCCACCTAAGAGTTCACTGGGGCCTCTGCTTCCCGCAAATGCCGGCGGGGGGTGCTGTCTTACCCCCAGCTCCTGTAGAATCGATGATCTCGGTGGCCTGGCCAACATCCCCCTGCTAACACCCTGCACAACGTGGGGTTATTTCCGAGCCAATACGCGTTCCAGGTCCTTTGTCACGTAGGCCGGGCGCACAGCGATCGTTGGCAATCCAGCGCTCCGAAGAGCGCCACTGACCGCAGGGTCTGTCCTCAGACAACCTAACGCTGCGTGCGGCCTTTGCTCCGCCTCCCCTAAGGTCCGCGGACGAGCACGTGACCAGCCCTCTTCTCTTCCCCGCAGACTGCAGGTTCGGGAACGGAAAGGGGTACCGGGGTAAGAAGGCCACCACTGCTGCTGGTACTCGCTGCCAGGACTGGGCTGCCCAGACGCCCCACGCACATAGAAGTTTCACTCCGAAGAGTAACCCGAACGCAGGTCTGGAAAAAAATGTAAGCTGCTTTGCTCTGGACTCTGTTTCGCCTTTTGCTGACCGGTCTTTGCCAGGATAGCGGGTTCTATGATACAGCTAATTGGCCTGGACTGATCTTTGGTGTGGACTGGAGGAGGGAAAACCACGAGAGATCCGGGGAGCCACGCCTAGAGGGTAACGGGCACCAGTACATGAGGCACGCAAGCCCACGTGCGTGCTTAGCACTGTCTGCAGGACCTCTCCTTCCCCCCGGGGTACGGTTTCTTAGGTGCTGTTTCTAGTTTCCAGGGTTTGTCCTCTAGATTCTGGCAATTCGTGGAGCTTTGTGATGTGTTCGCCAGATTTTTCTAGAAAAAATCTTGGGCCGGTGGGATCTCACACAGTGGGATCTCCCTCCATCTCTAGCACTTTCTGGGTTACTCTGCGGGTGTGTAGAAGAGGTCAAAGAAAACATCGCCTTTCAAGGCTTGACCCATGGGAGGAGCACAGTCCACGGGGACAAGCACCCCTGGACCAGCAGCAAACAGGCTCCACGGGGTGGAAGTCTGCTGAAATGAGCGGGCGCACGATGAGGCAGTTCCGTCCCGTGGTCCTCTGTTGCTGGGTGTCTGAGGTCTCCGCTGACACCAGAGTCCCCGAACATAGTCCCTGTGTTAAGACCCCTCATGGTGGGAGCACCTTTTGAACCAGGAGACATGGGCCAGGGGCATGGAATGAGTCAGAAGCACCCTAAAGTTTACCCCCTCTCCCCGCCGCCCCCAAAAGGAACACTTACCTGCCACCCTCTAGGGACAGCTGGGATGTGCCTGAGCCTAGGGGCCTTCCTCTCCGGCCGGGTGCGCGCTGTCCTGTAAGCACCTGCCCTTTTTTCAGTACTGCCGCAATCCCGACGGTGATGACAACGGTCCCTGGTGCTACACGATGGACCCAAAGAAACTCTTCGACTACTGTGATATTCCTCACTGCGGTACGTTGTTTTTTTGTTTTGTTTTTTCTGAAAGGACCTAACCTTTCACGCAGACGCAGTCTCACCTCCTGCGCGAGGGTCTGCAGGAGAAGGGCTTTCGAGCCGGCTCCGGGGGGCTGCCCCCGCCCCCGGGGCCTCGCTCCTGGTCGCAGGCCTCTTGAAGGTGTCCTGAGAGGCCCCACGTGGGAGGGAGCCGCCCACACCTTCAGTAAAGCAAATACAGAATTCTCCAGAAGGGTAAGCTGACAGGCTGTCTAAGCAGCCTGGCCAAGGGTCCACGCGGTTCCCCAGTGTCAAGCTTGCGATGCAGGGAAAACAAACTTAAAGTCACCCAGGTGGCAAACTTTCCCTCTCGGCAGCTGAGAGGTAAGAGAGAAAATACAAACAGCTGGAAGCAACTAAGCCCATAACGTATGCTGGGAACCTACGAACTGTCACCCTAAAAATTCACAGTCAAGTGGTGCAGATCTGACTCAGCCCCACGGTCCTTTATCCGAAGACGACTGTTCATGCGCTGCACACGCCCACATGACGTAGAGCTGGTCTGCGTTCCTTCCTCCTTTCTGAGACTCTTCTAAGGAGTGAGAGTGTTGAGCCTGAGAAAGGGGGTTGACGTTAGTTCTGGAAGACACGGAGAGCTGCTTTGGTTTGGCCTTGTCCCTGCACACGGCGGAATCTGTCCCAGTTCCTGAAGTCAGCGTGCACGTGCTGGTGTCTGCCAGACGGGGGCGCTCGAGTTGGAGGAGAGAAGCTCTGGCTGCCAAGTCTCTGCAGACTGGCACCCAAGACGGTCCAGGGAGGCAGCGTGGGGTCAGGGTTGGAGCCTGGGAGCTCCGCTGCGGGGTGTGCTTTTAGGCCCCTCCAGGGAGGAGCAGGGAGAGGCAGGAGTGAGGTGTGACAGGAGAGATGGTGCTCAGCTGCTGTGCTGTGCTGTGCTGTGTTGTCTGCACTTCGGGCGCGTTTGTGGCTGACTCTTTCTCGAAAGGGAGTTTTCTCTGTTCTGCAGGAGCTCTCATGGTGGCCCCTCCACCTGAGATGTCTCCAGATGGGGTCGCTGGCTCCCCTTCAGCTGGTCACCCCCGACCCTCAGCTCCTTCCTTCTGGTTCACCCCATGGCCTCTTGTGGGCCCGGATCCTCCCTGTGGGACAGGCTGCTTCCCCCCAGGATTGCCCTTAAGTTGTCTATCAGCCTGACACTCCTGCCACAGGCTCCACTGCGGAGTCTGGGAGGGACACCCTCGCCCGGAAAGGGAAGTCGGGCACCTCCCAGGGCAGCCCCCCACAGGAAGCGGTCCTGGGGTCGGACTGGGGGTTCTGACTGGGATCCTTCTCACCACTTCGGGGTTAACCGTGCATGCTCCCATCATGGCAAGGTGGGGGGGGCGGGGGGCCTCACAGCTTTCTGGAAAAATCATCCTCCCAGTCTTTCTTCTTTCTTCAATTTCTAAAAGCCTGACTTGTTTACATCCTTGAGTTGGGTGAGGATACCCGAATTCTAGGAGAGGCCACTTCCCTTGAAATCAGCGTAAGAAGGTTTCCTCTGGGCATCTTTGGGGCCTCAGGTGAACCTTCTAATTGAACCCCTAACATACGTTAGAGTGTACGATTGAAAGCAGTGCAAAGGATCCGAGCTATTTCCTTTCCTTAGCGCTCAGCGCAACGCGAGGCTGGCAGTAGGCACCACGTGTATATGTGGACGACACATGCTTGCTGAACAAAAATAGAAATGAATTAAATTGTGAACCGCAGTCCCTGCCGCAGGGCAGGCCAGCGCCGAAGGGGCGGCTCTCTCATCCTGAGGAATTTGCATGCGTGTGCTGCTGCGGTTTCTGTTCATTTTATTTGGGTTTTTCAGGATGAGACATGTCTTTGAGGTGTGATTTTGTCTATATTTAGTTTGTTCGCATTTTTTCTCTTTTTCTTTAAAGATTTTATTTTTCATTCCCTGATTTTGGATTTTTTGAAATGTAAGTGGGAAATTTCCTAACAATCATTTTCCTTAAAATTTCCAAACTTTACATTATTTCTAATTCACTCATCTTTCAAGTGAAAACGTATCACTGATCAACTTTTTACGTCACGCATACATTTCTTTAAACAGCTCACCTGAAAAATTTGTATAAATATACAGTGCTATTAAGAAAAATTAACACTGTGCCAATTGCGCATAAGTCATACCATCAATAAAACAACCTGAAATCACAATTATATTCTATTCAGCCCAGTGCTCTGTTTCTAAATTTTATTACAGGGTTGTATTAATTTTCTCTTTAATATTAACTTCGATAATTGAAGGATGCCAACCTTACACATAATTTTTATTTACTTATATTCATTTAGTTTAAATTTTATATTTATTTGTTGAATGATTTTAATAACTCGTTTCCATTCCACCAACACATTCAGTACAGATAATAAGTCAGTAAAAATAAAGAGAAGCTTTTGATTCTGTGCCGAATGTCAGAACCAATCATCTATGTATTATAGATGTTCCTTTCTCATTACAATGTGCGAGCCTTTTCTCTGTAAGGCACCCTAGTGCAAATTAAGATCCATATTAGAGAGTACAATTTCGTAACACTTCATGTTTCCTTTTTAAAAAAAGACATCTATAGATGCTCAGAAAAGGCCGCAACAAATGGAAAGTTATTTGGAAAAATCAGGTTCCAGGTCACGAGTGGGTAGACTCTCTGGTTAAGACGGAAAGAAATTCCCCTTCAGTAACATTATGAACAATGACTCACACTTAACGTTTCTGAAGATCTTTAAGAGCTCCAGACACCAGAGAAGCATTTTATGGACCCTAAACTGTCCTGGGTGTTAGTGGGTGCCACCAAAGACGGACACTGACCGTATTTTCCTAAGGCCCTGCGGCTCGGTGGGGCGGGGAGGCAGGTAGGAGGTGAACAGGGAGGACAGACAGGTGAATGCGGTTTGTCTCCAGGGCACTGGGTGAGTCTTGGGCGCTCCCCAGAGGCGCGGTCCTGAAGCCGCCTGGCAGAAGGCAGTAGTTCAGTTTAGGACAGAAAATCCTTACTACATACAATTGCATACACATACACGTGTACCCATGTGTACTCAGATTCCCATTTAAAAATGCCCTTGTTGCCTTTCAACGGGGACATCTGTGGTTTTCAGTAGCCTTCCCGTGGTTCGATCGTGGTGGCGGTGGAAGTGGGGTGGGGCTGGTAATGGTGATATTCTGCCATCGATGTAAAGCAGAGCGACAGTTTGTGTCAGTCGGCTGCTCTCAGAGAAGCTCCCATTCTAATGCCTGGCTGCACTGATTTACTCAATCACTTCTCCCCATGAATAATTTTTCAAAAGCACTTCTGTTTTCTTGAAAGGAGAAAGTTCCATGTTCCACTACTACTTTTGAAACTTGAAAAAGATATTCCAAAACCTGCTTATGTTCTTTTTTTTCTTTTTGACTTTTGAAATTGTATAAGAACTTTCTTTTTTCTTTTTTTTAAAAATTGAATGTATTGGGGTGACGTTGATTTGCAAAAACATACAGGTTTCAAGTGCGCAACACAACAAAACACCATCGGCACACGGCCTCGCCGCCCAGAGCCCCACGCGGCCTCTTTCTGTCCCCGTTTGCACCCCGCCCTTGCCCCCCTCTGCCTACCCCGCCCCCGTTTCCCTCTGGCCACCGCTCCACTGTTGTCTTTGTCTTTGTGTTCTGTATAGATGTCCTTGGCTAATCCCTCCACCTTCTTCCCCCTGCCCCTCCGACAGCCGTCAGCCCGCTGCCTGCCCCCCTGCCTCTGTTCCAAATCATCCTGACCTTCTTGCTCTCCGTGCTTTGGCCACGAGCCATTACTTTATGTTGAATTGATGACAGAACAGTTACCTTCCACTTCAAATGCGACTCTTTTTCCTGTGCCGTAGTGTCCACTTCATTTGAGTGTGGAAAGCCCAAGGTGGAGCCGAAGAAGTGTACTGGAAGGATCGTGGGTGGGTGTGTGGCCAACCCGCATTCCTGGCCCTGGCAAGTCAGCCTTAGAACAAGGTAACCACGTTTCTAGAAACAACGTAATCTCATCCTTCTGTCTGAGCCTTGCACTCGTACGCACTAAAGCCACGTGTTGGTACCCACCTCTGCATTCTCCTGTGGAGGGGGGAAAACTATAAAAACAAAAAGTTTAATTTTTCAAGGGTCTCTGCTTTGAAAAGAGTGAGAACTGGAAGCTTTCTCTTGATCTGGGCAGCTGTCATCGCCATGTGTGATACCACAATCCGCAAGTCCCAGCATCGCTGGGGAAGGACGGCAGACGCGCCCGGGTTACACAGACGGCTCTCCACTGCCTCCTTGTAAAGAGAAGGAAAGGACACGCTTTTAGAAACGGGACCCCTGGGCGGGGAACAAAGACCTAATTGCCTGTGGTCTGTCGCAGACACAGGTTTGACTGTACACAGTTTCGAGTGTGCACGCCCCTTCTTACACGCAGCCCCCTTTGCGCGGGGCAGCTCACGGTCACCGTCCGTTCAGAGCGATCAGTGCTGATCCCAGCGAACGCTGGGCACATTATCGTGTCAGTGGCGTCTTCCTTCAGTAAGCTCTGCTCTCCTGGTGTCTCAGGGAAAGCACACACGTGACGCAGTGACCGCTGGGATGCATTGCTTCCTTGTCTCCTTTCTGCGCCAGGAGCCTGTGTTCAGGGGCTGGTCCCCACCTGCGAGGCCTCTGGCCCCACGCCTGCGAGACACCCGAGTCCAGTCTATCTCGTCCTGTCGTGGAGCTGGCTCTTCTTTTCTTTGCCTTATCGCTTAGTAACTCCTTTCCATGAGATCTTCACCTTTCACCTATTTCAAATTCCTTCTTCCCCAAGCTGCGCTGGGGCCTACTCCTGGCTGACGGTCGACTTGCCCACTAGTCATTACGCTCTGCTCCAAGCGGCTCACACTATTTCCACAAGCTACCACGTGCCTGAAACAGTCCTATAAAGCAAAAGATTTAGGAGCACTCTTCTCCAAAAGGGCATTTTCTTGGGTAAAGTCAGCAGCACCCCATGACCCACTGCTATTCAGGATCACATTCGGCTCCCTGAAGAAGGACTCACCAGGTTGTGCATAGATCTTGTCAAAAAAAGAAATGAAAGAGACCTCGGGGCGGGGGGTACATGGTGTCTCCCTGGCCCCTGTGTCCAAGTCCAGGGCTAACCCTCGAAGCTGTGGATGTGGGCTTCATGCTGGAGCCGCGCGGGCCTGTTCTCCCGCAAGCCTGTCCCCAAGCTTCCCCAGTGCCTTCGAGGGTGCTATGGATGGAACCTTCTGGAACATCCCCAACTGAAGCACAACTCACAGCTGCTACCGCCCTGGTGATGGGCTGGGAGCTGATACTCCGGGAGCATCCAAATTGAGCGGACGCTCCCTCTGGCTTCCTGTCCATGGAGCCGTCAGCCCGGCACTGACCCCTGGCTGCATTCCCTCGCAGGTTCAGACAGCACTTCTGCGGAGGCACTTTGATCGCCCCGGAGTGGGTGCTCACTGCCGCCCACTGCTTGGAGAGGTACGTTCGGGGACAGCTGACATGAGCACTCGTCTCGTAGACTTCCCGCCTCTGTCCTTTCCTGTCCCTTCCTTTCCTTCCTTCTATGGCAGTGCCTTGGGGACCAGGGAGTGGGTGCGAGAAGCCTGAGGCCAGGGCCCCTGAACAAGAGAGGATGGGGCGCTGCTGGAGGGAAGCAGAGGGGGCAGGCCTTTGAGTCTCTTCCAGGCAGGGTGTATCGGCAGCAGAGAGTGGCACGTGGCCCCGGGCATCGGGTCCGGAGTCTCCCCGACACGGGGTCTGACCTTGTACTGACTTCAGTGTTGGTTTCATGGACCAAAAGCATCCCCGAGAACATTCCTTAGGCTCCGGTGGATGGTGGCCTGTCTTTCTCGCCGCTAGAGGACACTGAGGGTCTGGGGGACTGAATGTTTACAGCTCAGAAGGGCACCCGACGAAGGGGCTGGCCCCCGTCTTGCCGCTAAGGTCACTACCTTTTCCAGGTCCTCAGTGCCTTCGTCATACATGGTCATCCTGGGCGCACACAAAGAGATCAATCTTGAGAGTGATGTTCAGGAGATAAAAGTGGCAAAGCTGTTCCGGGAGCCCCACCGGGCCGACATCGCCTTGCTGAAGCTGAGCAGGTACCTGGCCCCCAGGGGGCGCCTGGGGATGCGAGAGCACCCTTGTCCCTGCTGGGGTTTTGGAGCCGTCACAGAGGTGGGAGGCGCCGCCCAGGACAGGAAAGGCGCCAGACCTTTGGGGAGAAGATTGAACTTCAGGCGAGAGAAAGCTGGCTCGGCCCCGCTCTGCCTCACGCCCCACAGTGGTCTTGCTGGAGGCTCCAGGGCTGGGTGCCCTCATGTGGAAAAAGAGCGGGTTGAAATGTGAAGTGCACGGTTACCCCTGAAACTCTCTCCCTTGATGTGCACTGTCAGCTAATACACATCCACAACCAGAGAACTGTTCAGTTATTCTGGGTGGACAACTCCCCGCTCCCCCACCCCAGGATGTCAATATGTTTGGGGGAATCAAAGTGGGTTATGGATTTCAAAGCACTTAAGAAAACCAGAACATACCCTCACACACACAAGCCACAAATGCAAATGCTGCATATCTTCAGCTTTGTTTTTCCTGTAGAAATGAGGCCTTCCCATGACACCTGACAAAATGATACATTTGCGTAGGCCACTTCAAGGTGGCAGTATTTGCAAACAGGTCCCAGTGGAGACAGCTAAGTAAACGGACAGCTCTTCTGAGAATAGACGTGTCTGGGGCAGCCAACACGGCACTCCGCGCGCAGGAGCCGAGTCGGATGGCTCCCCGGTGACCGTGGGACCACATTGACGGTGACGACAGGGTGTCTGAGTGCTGCACGGTTGCGGGGGGGTGGTCAGAAGCTCGTCCCGGGTTTTCTGAGTCAGTCAGCGGAGAACTGACTTCCTGGGGTGTGTGGACCCTCCAGAAAGGAAGGAAAGGGCCTTCCTGGCTTAGCCTGAAAGAGCAACCAACTCCCTCCCCGGCTTCGGTCCTTCGAGGACCTTTGGGGGCCCCTGATCGCTGAACAAATGACTTACTTAGTGAATTTGGGGTTCTGGGAGTGTTCTCTGCTTGACTGATTAATTTGAGCTGTAGAGTACCTGCCTCAAGCCCCTCAAACCCCAAGAGGCTCAGGCACAGGTGTCCCCTCAGGGGAACCTACAGAGTGACGTGTGCAGGGTCGCCCCAGGTGCGGCTGGGTCAGTTCTGGGGACTCCGAGAGGGCGTGTCTGCCTCAAAGCTGGCGGCAGCGATGAGATTCTTCTTCGGATGAGGGCATCTCTCGTCCTCCATCTGGTTTCTTCTTGAATTTGCTAAAGTAGAACCAAGTCTGAAGATGAGAGCGTTCATGTTTAAGATGCTGGAGCGCCACGGCATGGGAAGGTCCTCGGAACACAATACCGTTTTGCTGATGCAAATATTTCCAACCCTCTTTCATTTGGTATCTAGTGTTTTATTGGATTCTTACCATGATGATGTTGTAACATTCACAGATGAGGAAACCGAGGACCTAAAGGACAAGGGACTTGTTCGTGGCCACACAGCATAGCTGCTACTATTAATGCTTGGTGATAGCATTTCAGCTAGAGGGTCCATCTGCTGATCAAGGCACCATTGAGCTGATACAAAAGCACACACTTGGTGCAGAGCGGTAACAGTGCACAGAACAGACATGACAATGAGTCTCTGTTGTCCCTCCTGCCGCCTCTGGCTCTTGTCCACAAGAGGTACCTTCTTAACACACCATTCTAGTTGTTTAGCTCAGCAGATCCTATCGACAAATGCGAGGGTGACAAGTTGTTTTCCCTGTCACACTGTGCCAGTGACTCAAGGAAATGCCAGCTTGGAGGGTTCTGGGGCTGCGGGGCAGGCGGCATCGCGTGGGCGACTGACAGATGACTGGTAGGAGTCTCCCTGCAGGGCGGTCAAATGTCACATTTGATGATCTTCCTTTCAGCCCTGCCATCATCACTGAAAAGGTCATCCCTGCTTGTCTGCCGCCCCAGGATTATGTGGTTGCTGCCCGGTCACAGTGCTACGTCACCGGCTGGGGAGAAACCCGAAGTAAGAGAAATTCTGTGGCTTGCTTAATGACTCGGTTCTGCCCCACAGCCTGCATGAGGGAAGGGGCATCTGGGCAGCCTCCTGGCAGTGAGTGAGGTCCGCCCTCCTCCTGACTTTGTCTGGGTGCCTGTCTGGGTCTCCGTGGTCAGTCATCGAGGGACAAAGGGAGTGTTTCTTTGAGTCTCTTTCTTAGCCTGTCAGTTTGACATTGAGATTGCGTTTTCAGGGTTTTGACACAAGATTATACGTGAAGGCTGTTAGGTTATTGTTCATGTGAAGTTAGCCATACTGAGGTCCCAAGCAGGGTGGGAAACAGCAACTAAAATTGTAGTTAAACCTGTCTCCCCCAGGACCCCACAGGTCTGCTGTATGTGTAGGGACTGTTGGGGGTGGGGCAGACTGATAGCTGGGGAAAGAAAGGTCCCAGGCCTAGTAGGTTTTTGACGGGGTAAGGGTGAGACAGGACACCTTTATGCGGGGCCCTTACCTGTCCTGCATTAGGGGGACCCTGCCTTCCCTCCGCAGTGGGCCCTGATACCGACACATCCGTCGGACTCGGGCCTGGAACACCATGAGGATGACTTAGGTCTCTACGTCACCTTCTCAGAAGGACTGGCGAGTCAGGAGCCCCAGGGAACGGTCTGGCTCTGCTGCCAGCCGGGCAAGTCCCTCACCTCTCCTCTACTTGGCATTGGAGCCCCTGTCTGTAAGACGGGTGCTTCCCAGCTGTGTTCCCACGTTGGCCTTTTGCATAAGCTCGCATTTGAAGAAAGGTTTTGTGACTTTAAAAAAGGTTTGAAAACTGCTGGGCTAGGTCGTTTCAAACTTGTCTTCCTTCCTTCTGCGCTTTCCCTACTGTCTTAGCAACCGCCCCTGGGGGCGGGGGTGGGGGGGGTGGGGTGTGGTCCCGTGGCCCCTGTGCCTTTCAGAGGCTGTAAACACTGAGGAGGGTGGAGGGCAATGTGGCCAATGAAGTGTCACAATGGATATGTCACGCTGGTCTGCTCTTTGCATTTTTAAAAATGTAAATGCCACTGTGCCCTGTGAATCTGATATGTTTGTTCCCGTTATGCAGATGAGGAATAGCGCAGAGGGGGCAGAGGGCCCGAGTTAGGGCCCTGACTCCCACTTGTCAGCTGCAGGCACTTTGAAGAGTCACAGTCTTTTTGAACTTGATTCTCAGCTGGCAAATGGGCTGCAGGGAAGGGGGGAGGGAATGAGAAAGTGTGACTTCTCATTCACCGAGCACAGCTCAGGCTCGCCAGTGACCGGAGCACCGTTGTCCCCATATAACTCTCGCTTGCAAGTGGCATAGCATCCAATGCAAGTTGGACGAAGTCAAAAAAAGGAACCTCTGAGCGAGCTGCAAAGCCTGCTGGCTGACTCAAGCAGGGACCCGGAATCGTGTGGATCTGGATGTGCGTTCTGGTTCCATCATCTTCCATGTAACATCAGGAAGTGGTTTAATCTCTCTAAGCCCCAGTTTCCTCCTGGGCATCACCTTCCAGCGTTATGGTGAACGCTAAGATAATGCATTTGAAGTGCTTGGTGCTTTGGAGGGGGTATCTGAGCAGCTCCGGTGCTCACACAACCACCATCGTCCCCATCATCACCACCTCAGCTGCCGCCACCATCCCGAGTAGCTGTCGCCGAGCCTGTGTGCACCTCAGCCCTGAGGAAACCCAGGCCTGCCCCGCAAGCCGACGCGCTGTGTCTCCGTCCTGCCCACCGCCTGTACTCCTCTGAGCCCCGCCCCCCCGCTCCCCTGCGCTGGGCTGCCCCGTCTCGTCTCGTCTCGTCTCTCCGGCTGCACTCGCAGGAGAAAACGATCCTCAGGGGAGTTGTCGGACCAGGAGGTGTCACAGACCCTGAGTCAGGCCCTCTACCAATTTTCTCACGTGGACAATGACCTGGTACCCGCCGTGTTCTCTCGGCCTTTCGGTGCGGCGTCAGCCTTCTCCTGCTCTCTCCTGCCGTCTCCAGATTGTGCCCGACTCCCGTATCCCAAAGCGAGGTGTCGAGCCCGAGGGGGGCTCATTCCGTCGGCACTTCGCCAGCAATCACAGGCACTTCCAGGGTTCCCTGTGCAGCTCCATCAGGGCTTCTGGCCCCAAAGTCACTGCGGCCTCCAGAAATGCCATTCCCACCATGGCCACAGGATGGCAGCATGTGCCCACAGAGCACATCAATGTCCACCGCCCGCTGAGGGCCTGGGGTCAGCATCAGCGCATCTGTCCTGCTCAGGAAGCAGATGCAGGAGCAGGACACCTGGGGGAATTCATTTCTCCCTCCACACATCCACCCCAGTCAGGGGATGTGCCGCCCAGCGTTTCCACGGCCCGCCTGGGACGAGCCCTCCTTCCCCGTGGCAGCCCCGAGAGGGGCCTTGTCCCTTGCCGTTCCGGGCTCACGGAGCAATGGTTTTTGCAAACCTCTGGTGAAGCCAGGCTTGCAGAGCTGGAAAACTGGGCGATTTGTGGGCATACTTGGGTGTGTCCACTTGGAAAAAACCGTTTTCTCTGGTGATTTTGCCAGTGCTCTATCTCAATGTGCCCAAGTTAAAATAAAAAGCAGTTTTTCACCAAAAAAAAAGATAAATACAATGAATAAAACTAGAAATATAAATTTAAAAAAATGCATTAAGACAATTTCCACCTATTATATTAGAAAATATTGTTACGATATTAAATACCCGTTAGGATGTGGTGAAGCGACTCTTTCTCGTGATCCTTGACACTGTCACGCCCTTTTAGAAAACAATGTGGCAACGTTTTGGGAGCCATCAGTATGTGTAATTCCTGGGAATCCAGACTTAAGAATATGCTACGGAACATGAATAAAGTGTACGAGCAAACATGTAGAACATCAGAAGCCACTGGAGGAGCCCGTGAGCGTGGCCGTCGAGGATTTGGGCAGCGACAGCACAAAACCAGGCCGGAAGCCAGGCTTCACTCGCGCTTGGGGGCAACCCTGGACAAGCTGCGCATGCTCTGAGCCTCGGTTTCCTGGACTGGACAACAGGAATAAGGAAGGCGCCTGTTTCCAAAGAGCGCTGCCAGAAGCGTTCCATAAACGGCATCACGTAATGAGCTTGTGCCTGAAAAGGTTAATTCTCAGTCAATGACAGCCACCATATTTTGCCATGTATACTGCGCACCGTTTTGCCCAAATTTTTGAGGGAAAAATAAGAATGCGCATTATATATAGTTATAATGATTACATACCATGGGTATAATAATCCTGCGTATAAGGCACACAGAAAGTGGGTGTGCATTATATATAGCAAAATACAGTATTCTTTTTTTAAGTGCGTGGTAAAATACACATAACAAAATTTACTATTTTAGCTATTTTTGAAGAGCACAATTCACTGGCATTAGGCACATTTACAATGTTGTGCAAGCGACACCACTATTTTCAGAAAATTTTCCTCACCCCGAAGAGAAACTTCATACCCATTAAGCAGTCACTTCCCATTAAAATAATGATGATGAAGATTGCAACACTGTAACAAAATCCTTATTATAGAATGGTGAGTAAAAAAAATTAGGGTATAAAATTGTTCAATGTGGGAGAAGTAGCCAAAGAAGCATATAAAAACTTGAAATAGAATATATAAAATAATGGCAGTTGTATTTCTCAATCTCTCTTTACAAAAAAAAATATTCTTTGTACTGAAAAGAGGAAAGAAAGACAAAATAACAATACAAACAAACCCCCAAACCCCACCCAGAAGACCCCATTATTAAATCCAGGACTCAGGAACATAAAGTCTTACATAATGTTTATATTTTCAAGGGTCAAACAGAAAAAAAGGAGTTGGAGTAGTATTAGGAACTCACTCCTATCCAGTCTCATGGGCAAACAAGAATTCTAGCATCTCTGCTCTGTTGTTCTGGAACTTTCCTTGTGTGCGCCTTTTGGATCCACTAACCATGTCTCTCACCTTTGTAAACAGACACTCGTGGCGACGGCTTCCTCAAGGAAGCGCACACGCCAGTGATCGAGAACAAAGTGTGCAATCGCTATGATTACCTGAATGGGAGAGTCAGGTCTTCTGAGCTCTGTGCGGGGAACATTGATGCGGACAGCTGCCAGGTAAGAACAGAACAGAGATCAGTCATTCGGTGCTGGCCTCTCCTGGGCCTTAGCCATTTCAGCCCCAAACAGCAAATTTGAGAAAGATCTACCAGCCGAAGGCCACAGGCTGAATGGTGCCCAGAAGCCCTTTCGGTTGACTCAGATGGTCTAAGATGACTATGTGGACCTTGAGTTCCACGTGGGTTGTAAGAGAGGGGTTAGGTCCCATCTGTCACTGCCCACACGTCATCCGGGAGTCCTGGTGAGGGCTGCCCACATCCTTCCGGGGGACAGGACTTGGGTGGCCTTCCCAGTAGGAAAGTGGGAGAGCGGACAGGACAAAGAGCAGCTGCTTCCCCTGTACAGTGGTTTTTGGGGTGCTGCCACTGGAGAGAGACCCCAATGCAGGGAGGGAAGAGTTTGGGGCTCACAGGGAATTCTTCCCCCCAGCAAACATTAGTTGGTGCAGTTTTGTTGAATATACTTCGCTAAGCACAGCATGTGTTCAAACAAATGGTGAATAAATTTCCTTTCTGATTGGAAAGGGGTGTTCAAATACTGAGAAAACTTCCACCTGGGAAACAGAAAGTGACCCCCCCCTCGCCCCCCATTAAAGAATGGCGGTTTAATCCTCACATGGCCTTCCTTCCCTCTTACAGGGTGACAGTGGGGGGCCTCTGGTCTGCTTCGAGAAGGACAAATACATTTTACAAGGAGTCACTTCTTGGGGTCTTGGCTGTGCACAGCCCCAAAAGCCTGGTGTCTACGCTCGTGTTTCAAGCTATATCCCCTGGATTAAAAGTGTGATGAGAAATAATTAACTGGATGGGAGACCAAGGGAAGCATCAACATATCTAGATGCTGGAACATGGGTAGGGGATTTAACATGCTCAGAAAAATAATTGACAGTAATCAAATGGAGATGCTGCACTTAGCCACCACCTGCTGCTAAACCTCAACTTTTTTTTAGTATTGTGGATAAAGTTTTTCTGTCCACAGACTGCTGGATTCTGTAATAAGGCAAAAAACCCCCCAAAAAACCCACAGAGATGACATTTGTGGAAAATAAACTCTGTATTTACTTTGATTTTTTATTTTCATTGTTTTCATGTTGTGTTCATCCTACCAATTTTAACTAGTGTGGCACTGACAGACACATGATCTTGCTGTTTCTCATAAGGAGTAGTTGCATATAGGACCAAGGAACCTGTGGGACCATAAGTAAGTCCTTGTAGGTCACCCATATGTTTACCTTGTTTGTGAAAGACAGCTTGATGCGTATCTTTAATGTCTTTATTTCTGGCACTGAGATGAAACGTTTTCAAAACTGCAACATGTATGGGGAGTCGTGGGAATAAATTCTATTCTTGGGAGTGAAATCTGTTGCTGGCAGCTTGACTTGAGCCCAGCACTAGGGACAGCGGACAGAGAGTTGTATATTGTGAAGTAAATTAGGCGATGGGAGTGAAAACACAAGCCCAGCTAAGGGTCTGCATGTCATTTGGGGTCACACATGCGTTTAGGAATAATGCTGAGAGCCTGCAGAGGAACCACAAACTTACACGGAAGGTGGGCCACGTAATCGCCACCACTGCCTGTCTGCCCAGGTGTGCAGCACACACTCTCCTGCGGGAATAGTGTTTTACATGGTCAAAAGGACGAGAAGGGGCAAACGCTGACTTTTCTTGACAATTTAACATTTTTATTGTTACCAGGACCAAAGTCTCAACTCAAATACAATTCAAAGGTGATAGTACCAAGGAGCAGCAGTCACCCTGCAGCAAAGAGAGATGCAAAGAAAGCCGACGAGTGAAGGGCAGAGGCAGCGGCACGCCCTCGGGGCTGCGTTTCCTTCCTCGGAGACAGAGCAGTGGTGCTCACTCCGCAGGCGCTCGGAGCAGGAAAGAGCTTATTTTGCAATCCGCACACACTTTGTAGGTACCCTCACGTGTTCACAGAGAAATTTCCCCCCCTGTTGGCAAGACTTCCCTTTGGTGTCCATTTTGCCTGTCTACACAGAATAAGTCATTAGAAAAAGTAAATTTTGCATTAGGCGTATACTGAATCTGAAAATATACCAAGCAAGACATCTGGAGCAGAACCTCAGAAAAAGACAGGATGTTTGTATTTAAGCTCCGCATTTCGAAAGTCTCAGTAACCAAAAAAGAAGGATCAAATCCCTTAGTAGTATCTATCAAGGCACTTATAAACTTTCTGCTTAATTCTAAGCATGGATCTACCTGACCTTTCTTTTAAAGTAAAATGTAAGCTACTTCCCAAAACAAGTGAAAAGTGTCAAGGTTGAATGAGAACTGCCCATGTTTTTCACTCTTGACTGTAGGCACCGTCAGAGAACTGAACTCACACTTAAAAGATAAATGTCCCGTTATGGTTAAAATCTTACAACCCATGAAATCGTTCACAATCCATGGGTTTTGCTCAGTAAAGAATGTGTGGCTCCAGGTGTTCCCCTACGAGGACTAAAACCATCCCTCTTCTTCTTGGGACCCCACCTGATTTTACAATAATGAATTCCTCAGGTGGCACAGCCGATTTGTGCTTATTTGAAGAATGAGGTCTGAACACGCCTGCGATCCCGATGCTGCCGGGACTCCCGGAGCTCAAGGCACGAAGGGAAAGTGAAGGCAAAGCGAAGGCTCAGTCCCACGGGTCCCAGGGTCTTCGTTACGGAACTGCCATGTCTTTGTCCTCCCAGGAACCTTCCGAACGCTCCGTCCACAGCCTCGGTTCCTTGATCAGCTTTGCTGATTCCAGCTCTGCACACTTTTCCTGTGCTCCTGACGGAGCTGTCATGCAGATTGGGAGGGGCTTCTCTTGTCTCTCTGTGACTGATGGGTCGGCGACACTTCCCAAGGTCAGAAGAAAACCTCTTCTCCAAAATTATATTAAAAATACTCTGGATAGCGTGGATGTTTTTGTAAAGTATTCAAAAACAGTTGGAGCTGCACTGCGTCACGCAGCTGAAGTAGACACACGCGTCTCTCTCTGCAGGGCACGCCGGCGCCTCAGGGGGTTGGCCCGAGGGGCTCCTCCCTTTTGTCTTTGGCGGGGGCTCAGAGGTGAGAGCTTGACACTGGGGTTTTCCTTTTCCTGCCACATCTATAGGAATGTGGACTAACAAAACAAAGGAGAAAAGAGAAAGTCCTCGTTAGAGATCAAACCACTGGTTGGGAGAAAGCCGTCTTCTTACTCAATGGCACAGGTGGCTTTGATCAACACTCAGGTGGGACTTCACATAGAAAACCCAACTCCGAGGCAACCCAAACACCTGTGTCCGGGCACCGTGCGCTCCGGCTTTCACACCCTAGCACAGCATCGAAGTTCCTTAGGAAGCTCTACTGAGTAAGCGATGGTTTGGAAATGAATTGATCATGTGAACAATTGACAACAACGAAACACAGCACAAAGGATATAATGATTAGGTGCAGTTATAGAAGGAAAATCCTGTCAGTCTTGGTGCAAAGCAGTCCCCCTGCCCCAGAGTAAACAACGATGGAATGCAATTATAGTGCTGAAGTTATAAAACTGTAAATCATACTTTTATCAGATTTTTTCCAAGGGTAGCGGGGACTAGGCATCATTAATAATTTATCCGATTTTTTTTTATTACAAAAACATTACAAACGTAGAAAAATTAGAAACAATTGTGTGACTTGAATTTCTGCTGGTACACATCTTCCGGGGCCTCTCTTGTTTGGAGGCTGATTTTCCCTGCACACCATTCACACGCCCTCTCCTCTCCAAACATGTCACCCCTCTGACCGGCTTCACGCTGATTATAATGGCTAAGTTGGCAGGAGAGTCCAGACCGCAAATCACCCCCGGGCCTTCCACTTTTCCCTGAGGAGTTTGAGGAGCGGACCCCTGACTGGTTTGGGGATCACGAACGAGTGTGTCGCTCTCGCTGTTTAAGCAGCGGCACACAGGCCAGAACAGAAGGAGCGACGCTGCTGTATCCCTGGCACCGAGGTGGCATGCGGGGGAGGACTCTGCACCAGGCCAGGGTGGAGTCCAGCGCCCTAACGGCTCTGACACCACCTGTGGCGCTGAACTCCTGACCTTTGACCCTGCCGTCCTGGCTGGGATGCTGTCCTGGGCAGCAGCCCTGAAACACGCCAGCCCACGAGAAGTCACCCTGACTGTCTGGACATCTCATTGTACGATGGTCTTAGCTCCGTTCTCACCATTCCCCGTGGCTTCATCGAAGCTTCCTGAACATTCTCCTTCCTCTGGGTTTTCTCGGAGCACTGCTGGCACTGGGGCCACAGAACTGGACACCCCTCTACCTGACCTGGCCCCAGACTCTGATTCCAGCCAAGGAACTGTCTGCGGTGATAGAACCAGCACAGCCGTGCTTCTGCCTTCCAGGTGACGCAAGACCTGCCCCAGGCATAACGCTGAAGGGGCCTCACGCTGGTTTAGTACCTTTTTAAATTTCTTTTCCTAATTTCACTTTACAAAACACCACAGCTTAAGGACACTCCCACCTCACCCCAAACTCCTGGGAGCGTTGTTTGAGGGTGAAATGTAAGCAGAGCTTTGGGTGAGGAAGAAGCCAGTCTCCAGTGCTGCCGAACAAGCATAAAAACCTGTTCGGGTTACTTCGCAGGACAAACGCCCACCTGTCCTCCGATTGGCCAGTCCTGCTAGAAGTCAGCCACTGGGATAGGGGCTGGAGGTTCGATTCCAAGGGAGCCTTTCTTGGGAACGTTCTGGGATGGTTAATCAATCTTATATTTCAAAATAGCATCAAGAAACAGGACAGTGACATCACTGTATATGTTTTAATGGTCTGGTAAAACACTCATGGGACACTTAGCGAGGGTGGCCGGCCGCTGGGGAGCGGCTCGCGCCTCGTTCAGAGAGGGAGGGATTCCCGGTCCTGCCACAGGGATACTCGCTATGTAAGAAATTCGCAATCGAGTGGACGACAGCATGAAATGATAGAACTATACAAAACCAGACAGTCACACCTGAGCACCGGAGAGCATCCACCCCAGTCCTGGCAAGTAAAGGTTGTGATAGCTTTCTGAGTGTAGATATCCCAGTACACGAAAAAGTGAAGAGGCCTCCTGTCGCCCCAAATCGCTGTGTTTTAAGGGAAATGGCCTGTGTAAAACCACCAGTCACATAGGTACCTAAGAAACAGTTACTAACTCTCTTCCTGGTGTACAAGTGAAGGGAGATGGACATGGAGTTACTCACATTTCAGTCTTTTCACAAGTATCTTTGATACATTTGTTTAAAATTTAGAGAGCCATACCCTTACTTTCCAGGTCATTATTTAGAAGAAGAGTGATTTTTAGTTTTAAAATTAGCTGTCCAGTTACTTTAAAAAATTACACAGATAAAACAAAACAATGTGTTGTAGCTTTTTTTAAAAAAAAAAAAATCAGACAATACGGAAGTCTGCGGAGCAGAACGGGGACGCGCTGCCCCCTGCGCCCTGCCCCCCCCACCCCCCGGGCCCCGGGCCCCGGGCCCCGGGCCCCGGCCCCCGGCCCCGGCACAGGCCTGTCCCCACGGGCTGTATCGCGTTATTTGAGATGTTTTCCTGTACACTCTCATGGTCGTAACCTCTCTTCCTGACTATTCACATTATGGAAGATTTCAAACATAGAAAATTAGAACTGGTGAATTTTTGTTGGAATAACAAAAATATATTCATATGTTGGTTAGACACTAACTTTCCCTATGTACCATTTAGACACACTTCTCCAACACTCAAATCTCTTTCTCACCCCTCAGTTGCTTTTTAAAAATTTTATTTTATTTTTTTCAATTGCAGTTCACATTCAATGTTACTTTATGTTCGTTTTAAGTGTACAGCATAGTGGTTAGACAATCATATGCTTTATAATGTGTTTCCCCTGATATTTCCACTACCCTTACTTTTATCTGTCTGCCTATCTACCTACCTACCTACCTCAATCATTTATCTTCTCAGCTGGCTAGAGAATTTCTATTGGTTTTATTTTTTTAATAAATACTCTAACACATTGTTCAGTGCCTTTTCACTTTGTAATCTAATCTTGAAAATCTTCCCGTTTCATTCCTTATACATATATCTTAATTTTTTTAATTTCTGTATAGTAATCCATATCATAAATATATTGTTTTACAATTATTTGCCTACTGATACACATTTAACTTATTTCTACTTTGTCCAATCACTAATCCCTTTTCTTTAGATTGCTTCTTAGTTTTAACACCCTACTTGGAAATGTTTTCCTCTGCATAACCACCTTTAAAAAATACATATTCTCTTGTAGCTTTTTCTTTGTACATTAACCTCTTGCAGCTACTTTGAATTTTTGGTTAGGACATGAGACAGGAATTTAATATTCCTTTTTTCCACCGCGGGCATTTAATTGTCTCAATACTGTCCCTTCCCCAGTGGATTGAAATGCTGCTCTTATGTAGGAGGTGCTGAATCTCATACGGTACCTGCCAAGTTTTTCTACATCATCCACTGTCTCTGGCAAGGCAATGCCCTTGGTTTCAGGCAACAGCATCACGAGACCGCCACAGACCGATGCCAGGATACCTGTGGAACAGGGAAGGCATCACCGCCGGGAACTCATGGCTGGCCCTCGCCCCTCCCCTCGCCTGGAAGCTGCAGGCCCGCCGGCCTCAGCATGCCCTCGATGGCAGCTGCCCATGGGGACCCCGGTCAGCGCTGCAGCTTTCCTCTGCCACCGTTTCTTCACTTTCTGCAAACCCTGTGCGGTCCCAGCGCCCCTGGACCCTTGGCAGACATCCATCCGTGTATCCACCGAACAAATGTTTATTGAGTGCCTACTAGGCACCAAGCACTCAGAGAAGCCCTCCTCTCCTCCTTCCTAGGAACACAGAAGCCACCACAGAGGGGTCCCCTCCGCGTCCTTTCACCGACGCTAGAACATTACGCTTCTTCTCTCTGCCATTGCCACAGCAGCACTTGTCCCTTCTGCCCAAGGTCGGCCTCTTGGAGGCTTTTTTGGGCTCCTCACTACAGTGATGAATCCTCTCTGCAGTACCTTTATCCCATTGGTGGAGGCACCGACACATACGCTCATATTTCATCTTTCAGGACCATTAATCAACCTCTCATCCCCATTTGCCATCTTCCCTGTTTCTGTTCCTCGGAGTTGAAATTCTGGAAACCTTGTCCTCTACTATTTTCTCCACATCTTATCTTCATGGCATGCTGGTGAATGTTTACCAATGGGCTCTCCAGCAAAGGAGGCCCTGATTTGTAGCATCTGCCCATTGCCACGGTGTAAATACCGCCCCCCCCCCCCCTTTTGGACATTTCCAATGACTGCTGTGACATCGCTGAATGAGGCACAGGGAAAAAAGATGCAGTAGCACTCCGTTCTATAGAATTCCCACCATAAAGATGCAAGAACATAAATACCCTCAGGAACACAGATAACAGTACATGTAAAGGAATTAGGAACTGATGAGGTCTGAGTCTGTGTTGTCTGTTTTTAGTACATTTTATATGCTTTCATTTTACAACTGGCTCTCCCGGCGAAGGCAGGGACCGGCCCCCATTCCAGCACCGGCGCTCCGCAGGCCGGGCCACCGCCCCGAAGGACTGTGCTCCAAGACCACTCCGCCTTGGTCGAGCTCTTTGCCTTTTCGTGCTGGCTACAGAATCAACACTGGGCTTGAGGGTCCGGTCCCATGACATAATTTGAAACGCTCTTTTACTGATTTCACTGGTGACCACTGGTGAGAAGCCAGCCTTACAGTCCCCAGCACTGTCAGCAAAGCTCTTGTAGTACTCAGCATGTGCATCCCCATGGACTTGGGGTTTTCACTGTCATTTGAACTGCTGAGCAATGGATGAAAAAGGGGGAAGAGGTGGAGGAAAGTTGGCTGCGGTGGGGCCAACCTGTGTCCTCTCTTGCTCAGGAGGAAAAGGGGGGGTGTGTGCGGTCCAGGCAGAAGGGTGGAACAGCACGAGACACACTGGGCTGATTTACCTTAAGGTCCCTCCCTGCGCCACGGTTCTATCCCTTCATGGGTTCTACGAAGATTGGAGGGAGGAAGGAGGGAGTGAAGTTGGGGGGCATCGAAGAGGTTATGTTAGATGCGCGAGGGGTCTCTGTCCTCTGCTCTTTCAGCACCGCAGGTTTAGCATCAGAGCAAATGAAGATATGATACGGATAGATATAGAACTTTTAATAATATAATTCGATTTTAGGCTTCTTTTAGACTGAAGGTCTACTTTGGCCTCACAAAAATTATTGGCATTTGATTATTCCCAATATCATAAAAGAGCTTTGTAGTATTCGGCTCAGAATCTAAACAAAGAAAGCTAAATCGAACACTGTCCATCACAGCCCTTTCAGGTACAGTAAACATAAATCATTGAGGGTGCCATTTCATCGTAATCAGATTGGCTCCTCAAAACTGAAATGGCTGTCAAAAAATATTCAGTGCATATCACTAATACAGAGCCTAACAACACAGAGAATGTGGATGAGCACGTGTAAACCTAGGAAGTCAAATGAGTTCTTACCAAAGATGATAAGAGGTAGTTCTAGCCAAATGGCCGCGAGTCGGAAGAGCAGAAATGGGGCTATGATCCCCCCAAAGTCACATAAACCTGAGCAGAGTGAAACTCCAAAGTTTCTGTAGATAAAAAATGGTTTTAAATGAACAAATATTTAAATAAGTTTGAGGCATGCAAAATATTCAGACATAGAAGCAACAAAGAAACTGCAACGGTGTTTCCCATTTCTGCGGTTATGAACTTAGAAAACGACTGCTCTGTCACTCTCTAGGCAGGCCGTGCACACTGGGCCCCGCCGTTCCACACGCAGGTACACGCCACATCCTGCGTCCTGCAAGGCTGGCGAGGCGGGTACAGTGCTGGGGCAAGGCGTCCTCGCCACCCGGCTGGCTCGGTGATGCTCACGTGCTGCCTTGGCACCCCGCCGGACAGGCCGTGAACACTGTGTCGGGACAGCAGGCTAACACGGCCTGGTACCTGCACAGCGCTGCCTTCTGTCCTGCGGTGACAGGCTGCTCACCGTGACAAGACGTGGAATGGGGTGTGGGCAGAGGCGGTAGCCTTTGGATGGGTGACGCCCATAAAGAGAGTTTAACTCACATCGAACCATGTGCACACTAAGCAGTTTTTTTAATTCCAAGTCTAGTGCCTTTTTGCAAAACCATGGCTGTGTATGAAGATACCGGCAGGAGAAATACTGTATCCCAAAATGTGGAGGACAAGAAGGCAGAGGGCGGCTGCAACTCAAAGCGTGTCATCTTTAAGGCTGGATTCGGCCCACGTGAATATGTCATCAAGCTAAGGAAACTATGGCTTCGTTTTTAAGCCAATTCAAAACACTTTGGAGAAACCATAGCATGTATGTTGGAATTACCGTAACGTCGTCGGGTACAATTCTGAATTCACCAAATAAACAATCTCAAAGGCCATGGTTATCCCCAGCCGTCCCAAGGTAGCGACCGTGGTCCTCAGCCATGCTCTTCCTGAAACACAGAAAGGTTGGGAGGCAAGAATCAGGGGTGTGCTTTTAGCTCAGTTTTATAAAACAATGCAAGGTATGTGCTTAGTGTTCTCTCAGCCCTCGGTCTTTGCTAATTTTAAGCACAAATGATTGATACCTCCTACTATCATAGCCAGGTTTCAACAGCGATCACCACCGCCAGGACGATGGGTCGTGTTTCGGTGCGCTGACTGCATTTCTGAGCAGGGTAAGATTTCAGCAACACAACTCCAGGACCGCCTGCTGAGTGGCCACCACATGAAAACAATATTCCACGTAATGCCTTCCTAACAGGGCCCGGCCACACCGGCCTTCTGTCTGGAAGACAGCCTTCACCTGTGCCCTTGAAAAGCGTCACCACTGTCTGGTGCCCTCTTGTTCTTTCTGTTCATACCCTTTACTGATGACACGCAGAAGTGCGGCTGCCAGCAGACCGGGAATGATCCGACACAAAGCTGCCTTCGGTTGCTAGAGAGCGGCAAGGCCTGGAGGGCTGGGATCTTTGGAAAGGGGCATCTATGCTGTGCCTTAGCACTAGGGTTCTCACCCATGGTCTTTCTCGCCTTATCCCCGATCTTGCTACTTTCCCCAAGAAATTATCCAGAAGAGCCAGATTCTTAAGTGCTGGTTGATTTATTCATTTACAGATAAGCTGATTCAGTGCTCCCCCGGGTGACTGAAGAAGCTCTCTAGCGAGAGACAAGTGTTCTTTATTAAATATTTTCCTTTTGTGTCTTAAGGGAAGGGGTAAACCATTCTTGTCCCCCTCAGGGGGTGCAGTTTCTGGCTCCCTGTCCAGGGGCCTTGGGGTGAGCAGGGGCGCCCCAGTGCCCGGCACGTCTGCCTCCCGGCTTGGAAAACGAAACCTTTCCCTTTTATCGTCAAACTTATTTGTGCCCCCTCCACACTAAACAATCCTTTTGTCTTCTAGGACGACTGTACTTTCCTGAACGCATAATTTTTTTTTTTTTTTAGTAGAAAAGTAGGCATGGATGAGGAGGGTGAAAGAAGAGAATTAAGTTCAGTAGATCGATGCGTGTTCTCTCTAAAGGACAGTCGACACATAGAAAAAGCCAAAGCCCATGACACACAGCAGTTGTTGAGGAGGACACGCGGAGACAAAGATGGCCCAAGAACGCAGGTCACTGCAGGGTGGCCCCGGTTCGCTGGGCTCAGGCTGCAGAGCAGCCGGGGCCGGCCTGGCGTGCCCGATGTTTTCCCCCGTCAGGGCGCCTGAAGCGCTCCAGTGACAGTCACATCAGGGCGCGGGGCACAGCAGAGTCAGGCTGGTGCGCTGGGCCACCACCTGTTCTGGCACCGAGCAGTCTAGTCGTCAACATGGGTTTTCTTTAGGCTCCGTTTTTTCATGAAAGCCAGGGAGGGGGACTAGGAAATGCATTCCACCCCTTCCCCAGGGGAGCAGGTGGTTCGCCTCGAGGCGCTGGGGAACGGAATGTGGGAGCCGGTGCCCAGATTCCCTGGGCCCAGCCTGGCCGGCAGCCCCGCTGCTCTCGGGCCGCACGGAAGAATGCTTGCTGCCTGCTAATGTGGAAGTGACTTCCTCACCCAGGGGAGGTCCTTCAACTACGGGCTTTTCCACCGAATCAAGATTGCCCTGGGAGTCCCCGTGATGACGTCAATGACAGACTAAGTTTACAGGTGAGGCTAGGAGAGTTTGCTGGAAAGAACCAGACAAAAGTCAAATTAAAGCGAGTACGTGCACACGCGCACGTGCATGCACACACACCATGAAAAACATCCAGTCAGTGCAGAAAATCATTCAGGAAATGCCATCCAGTTGATGCCGTTGAGGAGACAGGGTTAGTTCTCCATGGCGACCTTAAACCGAAGGACCCTCAACTCAGGCCAAGCTGTGGAGACCAGAATTGAGCAGCCCCCGCACAGGGACAGAGATGGTGCTGGGATGTGTAATGGGTGGCCCGAGGGCATGCACGGGGTATCAACAGGAGAATGAAGTGGAAACAGTTTATTAGGTGTGATTGACGTGTGAATGTTATACGAACTCTCTCGACCATCCCGGTAATGTGCTGAATTCATGGTGGAGTGGCAGCAGACATCTTGTGATGATAATGATCAAAAAACAAAACACGAGACAATCTAACAATGAGAACTGAAGCTGAAACCGTCTTCCATGGAGTCATGCGGACTCAGAATGGGGGTTTGGTCAAGCTTCTAGAGAGTTCTGGGAATAATAGCTCAATTTTTGAAGAAAAAAGACAGGGTTTTTAATAAACTCCATTTTGCATCTCCTCTGAATGTTCCATCTATTCTGGGTTCTGAAATAAAATTTAGCGGCGTTTCCTAAAAGAGATATGTAAATTAAGACACATAAACTTACTTTTCAGTTCAAGAGAAACAAAAGACAGACTTCCCTAAACTGCTAGGTTTGGAGCCATCCTAAATAAACTCAAATTAAAGGTGGCGGATGAGAACGGCAAAAGGAAGCTCTGCATTTTTCAGACTTTAGAGTTCAAAGACACGGTTCTGAAGCTGTGAGTCTTAGATGAGGACACATACAGTCAGAAAACTATTTTTTTCCACAGTTTCATTCTTCAGACCCTGAAAGGTTGTGCATAGTGGAGGGAAAGCCAGCTCAACTGTTTTTTGGAGGTAATTGTAGAGCCTATTTCTCTAAAAGGCCAACCGGCACCCTCCTGGTTGGAAGTCGCTGAGGGGAAAGTCTTTCCAACATTAGCTGAAAACCCCCAGCACCCAAGCCCGAGCACCCTGTAAGTGGCTGCAAGGACTGTCAGCTCTGGGGAGGACCCTGTCCTGTCTGGTGCTCATTTGGAGCATCAGGGATTTGAAACTTGCTCTTGTCAATCATGACCAACATGTGACTATGAAAACAGTTGAATGTGGGGACCAAAAACCGTGTCCAAAATAGGAGCAGTTACCGTACTTTGCCGTGTTTGATGTACACCCACATTTTAGGCCCAAACTTTCAGGGGAAAAAACCCTTTCATTTTAATTTTTTAATTCAATTTCTTATTTATTTATATTTAGAAACAAAATCAATTATCATATTCCAGGGTATTCTTTTGTATACAGGTATTGTTATTGCTTTCTAGAGTTGCACTTTTAACACATAAGCATAAGTAAAAGAATTAAAAACATTTATATAGATACGGAATTAGTACTACCAATGTATAATGCGCATCCTCATTTTTCCCTCAGAAATTTGGGGAAAAAAGTGCACATTGTACATGGCAAAATAGGGTAGTTTTCAACACTGCTAAGAACAGCTCTGAAGCCTAAAATGAGAAATTACATCTATAAAATAAAACTGATCAGACTAAACAAATACCTTCTATTTTCCAACATATGAAAGTGCTCTCTATGAGACGGCTTGAACTCCGTCCACCTGGTGTTGCCCACACTGGTTTGGACATCCGGCCTTGCCTGCTTTCTGGGGTCACGCTGAATGCAGCGCCCACTGAAACCATCCCGCGTTGACAGGCCACACTCTATCAGGAATCTTTCTCCCCAACTTTCCTAATTTCACATGCAATGAACACTCAGTCCTTATTGCACATTGTCATTGTCCAAACTGCGGCAGATACAGAAGGCCACCCTCCCCTCCCCAACCCTCTCCTGAAGCTCAAAAGACCATAAGCAAGCTCCTGGCATGGTCTGGTCACCACTGGGGACAGATGATCCTTCTGCTCCTCACCTGGATAACAGTGACAACCATGAACGTCTGGTTCTGACCCGCCGGAGGTGATCCCTCTCCTGGGAACCACACTCCACTTTGGAGAAGTCGCAGGCAGCCTCCCCTCTGCCCACACCTCCCTGTCCCTCCTCCCACACCCCTAGCCCTCCCCTCTGGGAAGCTGTCCTCGCTCCCCCCAGATGAATCACTCCTCACACCTCTTCACTCGGATGTTACTGCTTTTTCTAAATCTTGTAACTACTTCTGTTACTTCCTTCATCGCACGGAGGTGTGAGTATTAAAATGTCTTGACCCCGTCCTAGCTTGGGAAGCTGCTAAAGTCAAGAACTGTGTCTTTGTCCCTCTGTAACCTCTGTGTTTGCTGGGGGCCAGTGGCATGGCCAGTGCTCAGGAAGTGCCTTGAGCCCAGCCATGCTGTCACAAGTCACCTTGATAAAGGGAATCAAAAGTAAACGACAGTGCCATGAGCTAGATTTCACTCGATCACATCCACACGTGAACCTAGAAATGGAGAAAACAGAAGAGTCTATGGAACCAATCTCCTACACTCAGCATCCTTCAGGGGATGAAGCAGAAAACGGCGTGACAACACCACCGAAGTGTCCCTGGCCCCGGGACTCGGGCGCAATGGTATATTTCCTAAGGATGAGCGTTTCCCCTTATGCTGGGTGATTTTAATTTACAATTTTTTCCCCAAGTTCTCAGCTGCCACACTGAGTCGGAAGACAATTACCCTCGGGTAAGAAAGCTGTGACCAGGCACGCCACTCCTGCCACGATATTGCTCGCTGCAAAGGGAAGACGTCGTCCGATACGCTCAATGGTCAGCAGGATCAGAAGGGCTCCTGGCAGCTCCACGACTCCGGAGACAAAGAAGTCGATATAGAGGTTGCCTCCTGTGATGCCCAGGCGCATGACAAGCCCTTGGTACACCACCGCACTGGTAAACCTGCAGCGACATCGAGAGACAGCGGGGAGCAAGTGAGAGACGACTTCAACTCGACTGGAAGAAAGGGGCGCAGCGTAAATTTGACACAAGCTTTGGAATCCATCACAAGGCAAACTTACCAAGCAAACATAAGAATAAGTGTGCACTTCCTCATTTGGGGAGTTCTCACCAGATCTAAAAAGGATGGATTACTAACTTCCTCATCTGTAACAGTGATCTACACAAGAGAAGCAGATTTCAGTAGCAATATACAGCAAGAAACACCTGCATATTACAGATTTGTCATTGACCAGGTTCAAAGCTACCGAGGCATGACCTTCCTGGAGCCAGGTCTTTCATTAGCACATCGTAAAACCAGAGGGTGAAACGTTTGGTTCTTGAGCCTTTTTAACAGGTCAAGTTCACAAAGATACGGCTGCTGCACTGAGCATCTCCTCTTCGGCTAATATCAGCAGTCCTGTGCACTAAACTGCTTGCTTAAACAAGGAAAAAAGGAGGTGTTCAAAAGTCAAATACATTTGTGTGTTTATTACATTGGAGAAAATCAGCATAAAAGTGGCCAAAGCAAGTAGGATTCAAATGACTGTTTCTTAATCTTTTTAATCCTTAAACCTTCTGTTAACAAATAAGATGGAGTAATGTTAAGTTCAAGAGCAAGCGTGGCACCAAAGGTATCGTTTTGCTTCTGTCCATTTAGCATATTTTGATCCAGAAAAATTCAGCTCATTCCTTTTGGGCCATCCCTGAAGTTGGTCTTTTCTTTAACTGAATGACACCAAGGCTGCTGTTTGTCACCTATGTGTAAGGTGTGATAAAACAACGCCAAATGGCAAACCCTCCATAACCAAAGGCGTCCTAACAGTGTCATTCCTGAGTGACGGTGGCTTCACACTTCCATGAGCGTGCACACCCCATAACCTCTGCTCGGAAGGCCTCAGGCACTCCCAGTCCTGAGTTCACCTCCACAGGGAGGTCCCCCCTAATCTTAGGGGGAACATGTGTTCCCCACCTGTGTCTCTGCCCACCAGACCTCTGTCCTTGTACCTACCAGCACATGCTGCTTCTCTCTCTCCCCTCGTGAGCTTGGGACTGTAGCACCAGGAGAGTCCCTGGGATTCAGCCATCGTTCGGCAGATGACAGAACGTTGGAACAAGGGAGACAGATGCCCTGGCCACGTCTGGACCCTAATGGCTGGTTATCTCAACTCCAGACCTTGCCCAGACTGAGTGAAATCTGGGCAAATTATCCCCAAGCCTTTGAGCCCAAAGTCCCTCCACCAGCAGTCACAGGAATTTGACTTGAAGGACATTCATACTGATAGTTAGTGCTCAGGCAACTATTCTAATCACACTCAACGGTCAACAAAAGCTTGACGTCGCCTAACTATGCTCGCTCCAGAGAGACTCACACACACACGAGAAGGATACAAAATGAACGTCTTTAGATCACGTTCTCTTCCTAAGTCTTTTCAATGTTGTATTTCTTCTATTGCAAGGCACGTATTTTTCACATTTTAACATCTCTTAAATTGGGACATGTCCTACAACCAAGCTGAAAAGAAAGCAATGCGTCATAGTTTAAATAGCATAGTTTTTCTTCATTAGTGATACATAAAATGAGGATGTGTCTCAAAATCAATAGTCTTAGAGTCAGTGAAACGATCGTAGGCTTCCGCAATGATGCTCATGTAAGACCACTAATTGATTCTACCATCCATTCTGTTCCTCCCCCTTTTGAAAACAGAATTCACTGAAATTTAGTTGGGAACATGGATGCCCAGATAAAGTCACATCTTCTAGCCTTTCTTTCAACTATGGATGGCCCTGTGACTAAGACCTCACCACTGGGCGGGCAACCATGTGTATGAGTTCTGGGTCCCATCCTCTAAGAAGGAAGTGGGTTGGCCTTCATTCGCTGTCTTCCCCTTCCTGAAGGATGAGAGAATAAGATGCAGGTGAACCAGCTTCATCCCCGCGGTCTATCCCAGGTCATGGTGGGGGAACAAGACAAGTGGGGCCCCGTCCTGGCAGGTCTCACAAGGCAGAGCTGGGCTCCTCGCCTCTGGGTCTGCGTGTCAGAGACACCTCTCTTTTTGTCACTATATATTGTGTGTCTCTGTTTCAGTGGCAAGTTGACTTGTACCTTACTTAATAGTGCCTATGAAGCTGCTCCCTGAGCTAAACTTCTAAACTTCTAAACTTCAAGACCTTCCAAAACAAGATTTTTAAACATACCTTCATCTTTGCTGCTTCAAAAGGAAGGCACAAGTATATAAGAATTTAGTATAATAGCACATTGTTATATGATTATCAAAATGTTTTTCACAATAAGTTTCTATATATTGTTTATATAAACATTGCTAACTTCTATGGAGTATATATTTGTTAGATTCTGGGCTAAGTATTTTATATGGACTATTTCACTTAATTTCCAACAAAATTCTGTGACATCAGTATTGTAGTGCCCCCCCCCCCTTATATGTGGTTTCACTTTCTGCAGTTTCAGTTACCTCTGATCATCCACAGTTGGAAACTATTAGAGAAAATTCCAGAAATAAACAATTCATAAGTTTTAAATTGATGCTGTGTTGAGTCGCATGAGGACATCTTGCGCTGTCCCACTGTCCCTCTTGGGACGTGAATCACCCCTCTGTCCAGAGTCGCCACACGTCATACGCTGCGCTGCGAGTCACTGAGCAGCTGTCTGGGTTATCAGGTCTACTGCTGTGGTATCACGGTGCTTGCGTTCAAGTCACCTTTATTTTACTTAATAATGACCCCCAAGCACAATTAGTCATGGTTCTTCACTGTTTCTAAGTGATCAAATAACTGAGCATCTGCTGCCGTCCTATCGGCGCTCGCGATGTCACTTCCTTCCCGATCAGATCTCCAGGCTGGTGAAATCACGTTGTAACCACAGAACTATGGCAGAGAGGATTTTGACAGATGTTGGATGGTCAAGCTCCGAGGTCAGCAAACTTTTTCTGTAAAGAGCCCGACAGTGGGTGCTTTTCGTTGTGAGGGCTATAAGATCTCTGTTCAAACTACAGTTGATCCTTGAAAAATGTGAGAGCCAGGGGTGCCTGCCACTCATGCAGTCAAAATTCTGTGTACCCCTTACATCCACCCTGAGCATATGCGGATTCCCAAACATGGATGGAAAAGGCAGGTGATTTATGAACATCTTTGGGTCTACATATACACGTATACACGTGTCAGTGGACCCAAACAGTTCAAACCTGCATTGTTCAAGGGCCAACTTACTCAACTTTGCCTTTGTAGCATGGCTGGGTCCCAATAAAACTTTATTTACAAACACAGGCAGCAAGCCAGGTCTGGTCCACAGGCTCTAGATTGCTGATCTCTGAGCTAGTGGGTTAATGGCAGAGGAATTTATACAGGTACTGCTCTTATTTTTATTGTAGAGAAAGAAGTTGAGGTGCAGGAAAGCTACATAGTTTACCCAACCAAGTCCCACAGACAGTAAGGAGATGAACGTGGAGGTTGATAACTAAGTCTGTATTGCAAAATCCTTATGCTATACTGGCTTGGCAGTATGCAGAGCATAATATTCATTCCATTGTTAAGTCAGTTCACAGGCCAGTGGAATGATGGTGGGTTTTATTTTCTTCTTTTTGGCTACAAATATTCTTTTTAAAATTAAAATTTAAACCTATATAACTTTTATAACAAGGAAAAAGCTCATGGATTTTGAATTAGACACTAGTGTATTGTTTTTGTTGTTGACTCAGCATCCTTCTCCCTTTCACTTTCTCAACAGAACCCACACTTCACCCCCCACCCCCGCAATTTATCAATTCATCTTTTCGGGGAAGCTGACTATTCCCAGTTGTACGGAAGCCTGATTATCTAAGGCTCAGTCCCTCCTCTCTGCAGTGACCGGGCATGTGACCCAATTGGAGCCAATGAGAAATGAATGTGGGACTCAATTTGAAACACTGAGAAATGGGCATGTGACCCAATTTGAACCACAGAGGAAAGGGCTTCTGGGGAAGTCTTGCAATTGCCCTTACATCAGAGATTCCTGAAGGAATTTTTCTTTCTTCGCTCAGGGAATTAAATAGGGAACGGTGGGCTCAAATCCACCTCAGCAGCCATCCTACGCCCAGGAGAGAACCAGTATAAAGATGACACTGCCCTGTCAGCAGAGTCGAGAGGGAGAAAACCGTGGCTTGAGATTGTTAAGATCTCAGTCTGCCCAACTCAGAGCCTTTCTGTAACTTGAGAATCCCAGAGCCAGGAGCCAGGAAATGTGCTTATTGTCAAAGCTCGATTAAGTTGGTTTTCTGTCACTTGTTGCCAAACATGGAATGATCTGGAGAATTTAGTCAAGATCGAGGCTTTTTCCTTAACAACTCAGTATTTTAGGCACAATAATTTTGTACTGGATAAAATAATTGCTTCCGTACTCTAGTTCACTCCGTAAAAAAATGTGGTATTAGTCTTCATTTCAAACTTTGAAGATTTAAAATCAGGCTGTCACGTGACCATGGTCCTGCTGAGGCACATCCTCCACCAACAGAACACACAGCACCGCTAACGAGGGAAGGTCACCGAGACCAGGAAACCAGTCCTGCCTGTCCAGTGAATGGAAGGATTAATAGTACTTCCAAGCAAGTCAGAATTTTGCCAACTCAAGAACAGATCCAGCTGGTCTTTGATTTACTAGCATGTTCTCCACAGTGACGCAGATACTCTGAAAGACGACCCACTTTACGGGTGTCCAAGGGCCCAGAGAGGCTAAAAGCTGTGTCTTGGATGGACTCTGTCTGGTAACATTTTGGCTGCGCCTGTGCAGTGACGGCTGCCGCTGGCATCTTACAACTACGGCTCCATGTTTTGAAACGAAGCTGTGCTTATTTTCTATCACCCAAGGTTAGCAAATGTTGCCTACTCTGAGTCAGGTACAAAAGAATAGAAATGCTATATCAAGTTATTTCACATACATTTAAATTCACTGTCTGGAGATATATATAATTTACATACCATAGAATTCGGTCATTTTAAGCATACGCTTGAATGAGTTTGGCAAATGCGTGGAGTTACATAACCACCGCCAGCATCATGATCCGGAACATTTCCCTAACCCAAAATAGTTTCCTCTTGCCTCTTTTCAGTCAATCCTCTCCCCACACCCTTTGCGCCTAGCCACCGCCCCACCTACTTTCTATCATGACAGTTTTGCTTCTCTAGAAT